AGAGTTCAAGTTACCTTTTGAAGGTCAAACAGAAATTCAGTGGCAAAGCTTGGACTCAAATTCAAGTCTGCAGACTCTCTGTTTGCTGTCTTTTCCTTCTCAGTTTGTTTCTTTTTTATATAGCAAGTGTCCATACAACACTATGCTGCTTACTTAACCACCTTTTGTAGTAGTTTGAAGGACCATTTCTAAATATAAATCTGCCTTTTATGCTTGTTGATGATACTTGTACAGTCATGTTCAGCTTGATTAGTTGGAGAGAACTGAACATTAAGAGTATTCTTTGTCAAAATACTACATTAAGGCTGTCCATGGTTCCAACTATTAGGAAATAATTATTCTCCTAATATGTGTACTAATGCATGGATACCTTGAACTGAATAGAGAATAAAAAGAAAAGCATGCAGGATTATATAACACAAGTATTTTAACAAGAAGATGGCATGTCATTAGGAGATTCAAATTTTTCTGAGTTAAGAATGCTCACAGTAATTTACAATATGTGCCTTCAAGACACATAGAAAAATATTATAGGAGATGCTAATACAGCAGTTCATAAACAATAAAGATTCTTTATATGACAGAAAAATAGTAGCAAAGCAACATCCCTTATGAACATAGAAGCAAAAATACTCAACAAAATACTAGCAAAACTGAATCCAGTAACATATACACCATGACTAAATGGAATTTGTACCAGTAATGCAAGGTTGGTTCAACATGAAAATCAATGTACTACACCATACTGACAAAATTACAAAAGTATAAAAACCACATGATTGTTCCGATATATACAGAAAAAGCATTTAATAAAACTCAAAACTCTTTCAAAATGAAAACAATCAGCAAACCAGAAACACAAAAGAAGTTATTCTTTTATGAAATAAAAGCATCTATGAAAACCCATAGCTAACATCAGACTAAAACAGTGACAGATTGAAAGCTTTCTTTCTAAGATCAAGAACAAGACAAGGAATTGTACCCTTACTACTTTTATTCAACAGTGTACTGTAAATTCTAACCACAATGTTTAGGAAAAAAGAAAAAAAGAGGGCAGAAAAGGGAGGAAATTGTACATAAGTTTTCGGCTAGCATCCCATTGGCCAGAACTTAATTATGTAACCACCTATAACTTCGAGAAAGTTAGAAAATGTAGTCTCTATTATTATTATTTTTTTTTAGATTTTATTTATTTATTTGACAGAGAGAGACACACAGTGAGAGAGGGAACACAAGCAGGGGGAGTGGGAGAGGGAGAAGCAGGCTTCTCGCCGAGCAGGGACCCAATGCGGGGCTTGATCCCAGGACCCTGGGATCATGACCTGAGCGGAACGCAGACGCTTAACGACTGAGCCACCCAGGCACCCCTGTAGTTGCTATTCTTGAAAAACTTGTGTCTAGTGGGGCACCTGGGTGGCTTAGTCAGTTAAACATCAGACTCTTGATTTTGGCTCAGGTCATGATCTCAGGGTCATCAGATTGAGCCCAGATTGAGCCCTGTGCTGGGCTCTGGGCTCCTCCCCTCCCCCTCTCCCAGCTTTTTCTCTCTCTCAGATAAATAAATAAAATCTTTTCAAAAAAGAGAAAAACTTGTGTCTAGTTAAAATTTGGGGCTTTTATTTTTGGAAGACAAAGATAATAGGTATTGGGAAACAACTAGTAGTTTCTTCCACATTTATTAAATACAAATCAAAAAAGCAATTTGCTATTTAAATTTTTTTTTTCTTTCTCCATTTCTTTCCTTCCTTCGTTTTTTCCTTTTTGTCTTTTAACTCATGTATTGCAAAGGTTAAAAAGATTGCTAATTTAAATGCAACATGGTCCTCTGGATTGGATATTGGACAAAAGAGGACATTAGTGAGAGAACTAGTAAAATCCAAATAAAGTTTGTGGCTTAATTAATAATATTGTACTAATGTTAATTTCTTAGTTTTGTAAATGTAACATTGTTATGCAAAATATTAACATTAGTGGAAGCAGGGTGAGGAGTATATACAAACTCAGTATTATTGGTGCATTCTTTCATAAATCTAAAACTACTTAGAAATTAAAAGTTAAAAAAAATGATTATTAATACTCAATGGCCAGGGGTTTGGAAAGAATTCTCATGCACTCTTGGTGATAATATATATTAGTACAGCCTATTTTTAGAGAGCAATTGGGCAATGTTTATTAAATATAAATGTGTTTGTATTTTTTTATTCAGAAAATCTATTTCTATCAGTGGCCCATGGCAGCAAGACGGTGGTGCAGATTTCCAAGAAGATGAAGTTTGTTGCCAATGGCATCTTTAAACCTGAACTGAACGAGTTTCTCACTCAGGACCTGGCTGAAGATGGCTACTCTGGGATTGAGGTCTGAATTACACCGACCAGAACAAAAATCATTATCTTGGCCACCAGAACACAGAATGTTCTTGGTGAGAAGGGCCAGCAGATCTGGGAATTGACCACTGTGGTTCAGAAGAGGTTTGATTTCCCTGAGGACAGTGTAGAACTGTAAACTGAAAAGGTGGCCACAAGAGGTCTGTGTGCTATTACTAGGGCAGAGTCTCTCCAATACAAACTCCTAGAAGGACTTGCTGTGCAGAGGGTTTGCTATAGTGTGCTGCAGTTCATCATGAAGGGTGGGGCCAAAGGCTGTGAGATCTTGGTGTCTGGGAAACTCCTAAATCCATGACGTTTATGCATGGCCTGATGATTCACAGTGGGGACCCTATTAACTATTATGTTGACACTGCTGAGGCATCAAAGTGAAGATCATGCTTCCTGGGGACCCACGTGGTAAGACTGGCCCTAAGAAGCCCCTGCTTGGTCATGTGAGCACTGTGGAACCCAAAGATGAGATATTGCCTACCACCCCCATCTTGGAACAGAAGGGTAGGAATCCAGAGCGGCCTGCCATGCTGCAGCCAGTACCCACAGGATAACAGGGTCTCCTTGGCAGCTGGATCTGGAATCTGGATTTTGCCATGTAAAGACCTTTAATAAAATCTTTGAAGAAAAAAAAAAGACAATCTATTTCTAGGAATTTCTCTTATAGAAACTTAAATGCTAGCTTTTGGAGTGTCTTTTCCCTTTTAGATAATTCAGCATACTTCCTCCCAGTGAATCTAGGAGGAGAGTGGAATGTTTGGTTCTCTAACCTCAGAAGTAAAACAATCCTTAGTATGGTTCATGTTTGAAATAGAATGGAAATTAAGTTCCTCAAGTGGAGCTGGTCAAATAATTAAGTTGCTAGGCTTTTAACTGGAGGAATAACAGTTCTGAAGGCCAGTGAGTAGTATTAAGGATTAGATGCCACCTCTGGATCTTGACAAAATGAGGTGTGGGAGGCTGAGTGGCCTCCAGTTGAGAGGGCTGCAGGGTAACTTTCCATTTTAGACAAGAAGTGCATGAATAATCATTGAAAAGGAAGAGGGTTTACTAAGAAGGTTGTAAAATTTTGGAATTTAAGTTTCTACAGCACTGTAGAATGGTTTGAGGAGGCACATAGCAGTGGTAGTTTGGATTAGGGGACTAGAGACTCTTAGAGATTGGAGTTTACATTTTTAGCAGGGATAAGGAACACAGAAAGATGAGGTTGCAATATAATTTGTACAGCTACTGTTATGGTGGAATGTCCTGGGACATTAGAAGTAGTCCAGCTTTTGGGGAATTTAACTAGCCAATCCTTAGCCCTGAGCATTTGCCCATGACCTTTCCTTGGTCTGGAACACTTCTGTCTCCTTTTCTCACTTTCTCAGGTCAGTTCAGACTATGTTTCGCTCTATCACTTTCTCTAGGAAGCCTTCCCTGAGTGCCTTCTCTCCTCTTAGCATGTGTACTCTTTCTCTGGTAGCCTGTCTCACAATATACAGCAATTGTCTTACCTGTTTGTATCCTTACTGTACCTTAAGTTCTGGAAGGAAAGAGACAACTATCTTGCAGGCCGTCCAGCCTCCATGTAATCAATCCATAAATTATACTACTTTGTAGTAAATATTTACTATTTTGTCAAATTTAATATTATAAAATTCAATTCCAGTTCACAAAATAATCTAACACGTTTCTTTAAAGAGTAAGCTTCACTAATGCATTATATGATTTGATTCCTACACATTTATTTCCCCATGTTACAAACACTGCCACTCAATGTTTATGTGTGGAATAAACTAATGAACTGAATCAACTTCATCCAATTCTAGTCCTTGATATATAAACTTTTGAAAAGTATTAATACTAGTCAAATTCTAACATTTTAATATCATTTAAAAAGTATTTAACCTGTATGTAAATAAATGCGGTTTGAAACTGTTGAAGGACTGCCATATCCAGTTGTACACACTAACCTGAGTTTTTATGGATTTAAAAATTCATCTAAAAAATTAAATTTCCTAAGTGAATGCAAGGCATTCACATTCATTTGGACACACATCCTGAGGTAATACACAATCTACTTGTGAAATGGATTATTTTCCCCTAGATGTATTCTTAGTAAAATTAAATACTGTCTATTTTATTTATATGAAAATGACTGTCCACAGTACACTCGTTGTAATAATACTTAATTACTATAACTTAATGCTTTTTTCCCTCTCTTACAGTGTAATTTTCAAAGCAGCTAAGTCTAATGCGATTCTCACATTTCCCTCTTTCAGGAAATAAAATACTCACACGTTCCAAGGTATTTAAAGCGATGCGATTTGCAGAGGCAGCAGGTAGAACGTTGCTGTCGGTATTATTTATGTTTTTGGTAGTAACTTAAGCTAGCAACGCCTCCTTCTGTAAAGTGTACTCCTAGTAACTACTTAAGAAACAAACACCAGTAACAAACGTTGGCCTCCCACGGATTTGGGCGGGGGGTGGAGCCTCAGTGATTTGTGGGAAGAGCCTCTCAGGGCCTGGGAGGGCTCTCTGCTCCCGCTCGTCAATACTCGGCTCCGCTCGGCTCCCTCTCGGCTCTCGCTCGGCTCTGTTCGGCTCCTCCTGCAGGAGAGACAAGAGAGCGCCTGAAACTGCGGCGCACGCGCTCACGGCTCTTGCTGCTCTTAGGGCCCCGCTTTGCCGTGTGTTTTCACTTCCTTCTCTTCCGAGCTGTATCCGGGTCGTTGCTTTCTCTATTGTCTCAGGCAAACGACCTCGGACTTTGCAAATTCTGGGTCTTTTGTTGCTTCTGGTGCAAGCTAATAAAGTTTTTCTTTCTTTTATTTTTTTTCTAACAGTTTTAACGGAGGAAATTAACTCCCCAGAGCTGCCGGGGCCTGAGGGAGCCTCTGGCACTGGAGCGCCGTGGGAAGGGGCGCGAGCGGCCGGGGCCGGTTCGGCAAGGACTAGGGGGCGGGGTGGGGGGCGGGAGGGGACCTCAGCGCTGCTCTCTAGGCGCCCGGGCCCGGTCGGCGGCGCCGCCGATTTTAAGTAGCATCTTTCGGATTTGTTCCCGCGGTATCAGTCCCGACTTCAGCGCTGCCAGGCTCTCGCAGCCTCTCCCTAGGTCTCCTCCAAACGACCACCTCACGGATTCCTTAGTAAGTGTGTTGGAGGCCTCCGCCGGGAGAAAGGTGCATTTCAGCCCTTCTAGAAGTCAGGGCCTGTGGGAGCAGGGTGGGGGTGGCAGGTTTCTGCTGGAAGCTGGACCTTTCGTGGGCGCTTCCCTTCCACAGTCTGCGAGAATGAACGAGGCTTCTTTAATTATCTGGGCTTCGCGTTTTCTTTCTGTTGACTGTCTCCGTGTCTAAGTGAGGGATTATGAACTAGTCGCAGGAATGTAAGAGGATGTTATGCGGGTTAGCTTTGATTTTGGTTGGCCTGGGTTCGCCTTTGCCACACCCCAGCCTGGAGCCGCCTCTGCTGCTGGCCAGCCCTCCCCAGCCCGTGTGCCCACTCCAAGCGAGCTTCCTACACTTTTTGCTGAGAACTGAATTAGACAGATTCCCTGCACGAGGTCATCTGTATCTTCCCTTAGCATCACAGTTGTCTGTGCTTGGCGTGATTATTAATGACGATGTAATGTTTTTCTCTTAACAGTGGATCGCAGCTCCAAGAGGAGGCAGGTGAAGCCTTTGGCAGCTTCTCTGTTAGAAGCTCTCGATTATGATAGTTCAGATGACAGTGATTTTAAAGTTGGAGATGCCTCAGGTAAATGTTTCCTTTTCTTCCCTTTTCCCAGCTTTCTGGAAGTTGGGCCTATTTTCAGATCCTTTTTAAAAATCGGTTTTGATTAAGATGCTAATTTAAAGTTAAAGCACATAAACTTCATTTATTTTGTCCATTTGATTTCTTACATTTCCCGAAGATCCTTTCACTAGATCCTATCATTGCTTCTGTTTATATTGATACTCAGATAATTAGGAGGCAGAAAAGAACTTATACTACAGATACCAAAGCGTTTTCTCTGTTTTTTACTCAAAAATAATTTAAGCTTATTTTATGGATAGAGGGGGAAAAAATATCCAGAAGTCAAATAATATCCTGAGAGTAATGTGAGCCATGAACAGGGTTCTTCTTTATTCAGATCACTTGGCACCCTCTGAGGGGAGTTTTGCTTTTTGTCTATTAGCTCCCTTAACTAGAATAAAGGTGACCAGGGTAAAAAGTTGTACTTTGTGGTGGGTGTTGGACCTTGTGGATTGGGCTTTTCAAAACTCTCTGAAGTACAAAGATACATGTTTACTCATTATATTTTGTGATTTTAAAAACAAACTTTTAAGAAGGTCATACGTTCACATTGTACAAGATTGGAAAACACAAAAATACGGTTTTCCATGGTATCTTCTGTTTATTATACTTCACATATATAGATACATATGTATAGTTTTAATTGCAGGAATCTGAAAAATGTACATTTTATGTGAAAAATACTACAACACACGTACAGTAAAAATTACTTATAATTTTGCCCCTTCTGATGGAAGTTTTATAAAGACTTTTCAGTTTCATCCCTTTAATAATTTTAAAGTGTTCCCCCAGAGAGTTTTCTGTGCTTAGTCATAACACTCTCCCTTCCCTTTTTTTTTTTTTTAACCTGCTAGGGATGATAAGAGATGAAATAAGGTTATGTTGCGTTTCTGTTATTTAAATAGCATCAACAAGTAGAATTTGCATGGTGATTTACTGAGACCTTTTTATTTCCATAATCTCATTTAACTTTTGTAATAGCTTAGTGAAGGAAATATTATTTTACAGATAACAGGGCACTTGAGTTCAAAGAACTTGCAGGAGGTCACTTAGGCCATAATAGATGCAAATCATTGTCTTTTGACTCCAAAATTTAAGTCTTTTTGCTGCAGAGATCCTAAAAGTAAATAGATGTAATCTTAAACTGAAACTACTTGGATTTTGTGACTAATTGAGGTCACTCCCAACAATCAAAAAAGTTAAGTTTATCTTGATTGTCTTTTAACCTTTGCTTCTCAGCCAGTTTCTCTCCCTTTTATTAGTCAACTTACTGATGTTTGGTCCTTCCAAAGGAGGAAAGCAAGGGAAGGGAAAGGAGCCAGAACTTTTTAAGTTATCTTGGTGAGAATCTTTGTAGATAATATTTTTGGTTAGAATGCAGTTTTGGTCCAGATTGTTAACTGTTACAATAGTTGTTGGGTTTCAGAAGTTACGACTCATTTGAATACCATTATGAAAAAACTCCGAAGCTTAATCTTTAAGTATTCCATAATTGTTTCTGTGACAACAAATCCTGATTTTGTAGATTTTTTTTCTTTTTGTTTACTGAGTTATAGTCATTCACAGGTATCACTTCTCTTTACAAAGGTTAAAACAATTTAATGTTACAAACTGCTTTTTCAAGATAATTTTTGGTATCAAGCTAAGTGGAGATTCCTGACCTTGTTAAATCTTAATCAGAGTTGATGGGAATTATCAATTATGTATGAAAAGTGGGAGGATGAGTTTTGTTAGGCTGATAATTTTTTTATGTTTGAAATTTTTTAAAAATTTTTTATCGTTATGTTAATCACCATACATTACATCATTAGTTTTTGATGTAGTGTTCCGTGATTGTTTGTGTATAACACCCAGTGCTCCATGCAGAGCGTGCCCTCTTTAATACCCATCACGAGGCTAACCCATCCCCCCACCCCCCTCCCCTCTAGAACCCTCAGTTTGTTTTGCAGAGTCCATCGTCTCTCATGGTTCATCTCCCCCTCCGATTTTCCCCCCTTCATTCTTCCCCTCCTGCTATCTTCTTTTTTTTTTTCTTAACATATATTGCATTATTTGTTTCAGAGGTACAGATCTGTGATTCAACCAGTCCTACACAATTCACAGTGCTCACCATAGCACATACCCTCCCCAATGTCTATCACCCCGCCACCCGATCCCTTCTACCCCCCCCAGCAACCCTCAGTTTGTTTCCTGAGATTAAGAATTCCTCATATCATAGAGGGTGTTATGCTGAGCGAAGTAAGTCAATCAGAGAAAGACATGTATCATATGACCTCACTGATAGGCTGATAATTTTTTAAAAAATATCTTCAAAGCACTAAAAAATATATACTTTCTGTTCCCTCCTGTCATCATAGTTAGTCTGCTCTATTTGTAATTTACTTCCTTGGGCGCTGTGTAGTTCTTATGTTACTGGAAGGGAGATTATAGTAGTAAATGATTTTGTTTAAAATAGTTAATAATAGAAATTGAATCCTCTTTTCCATTCTTGGTTAATGTGCATTGGTGTCCTTCATAGCTAACATAGTGGCTTACTGTAGATTACCAGTGTTCCCTGTTTGAATCCTTTCTTTGCCTGAGGTAGTTGGACTCTTAAATAAAACATTAGACTTATCACTGTTTTCAGTCATGTTAGAGTTGTGGAATCCCAACCCTACATGTGACTAGATGACACTGGAGGTGGAGAAATAGTAGCTAATCATCTGTCTGATCAAAGCTTCTTTCAAAACAATGTCTAGAAATGACTTACTGAATGAACTACTGACTCTCTTAGATTGGTTGGACTTAATTTTTGTTGACAAGATTCTGTGCATCAGTTTCTTCTCTTCATTTTGAAATCAGAAATTCTGACTACAAAACTTCTACTTCTGTTCGGCTTTAAGAATGTAGAGTTTTGAAAGATTATATTCAACACCTTTGCAGATAAACATAATTTTATTCATGTGTTTCTCAGATAATAAAATAGAAAAAGATAAATATTGCTCAAAAAATGACCTGCCAGTAAGATTGTCAAGTGATTGATTTTTGATGGTTAATAACTAAAAAAAAGCCTCTGACTTTAGAAAAGTACAAACATTTTTGAAAATAGATCTTTTATCTTTAATGTGAAATTAGAGTTAGATTTCTCATTTTTTTAAAGATTTTTATTTATTCATGTGAGAAGGGTAGGGGGAAAGGGAGAAGCAGGCTCCCCGCTGAGCAGGGAGCCCAGTGTGGGGCCCAGTCCCAGGACTCTGGGATCATGACCTGAGTGGAAGGCAGACTCTTAACCAACTGAGCCACCCAGGTGCCCCTAGATTTCTCATTTTTGATTGAGGACAGAGTACAACCATATTAGAATTATGGTGATAGTCACCAGAAGAACCATATGTGGAGATGTTAAATTGAACCATATGAAATTACCAATTTTTGATTATTGGTGGTTTCATCATTCGACCTAGTTTAAGTGGTTATATTTGAGACTTGGTCCTGGAATTGGGATTAGGATAGATTGCATTTAGTTATCTGATATATAAGTGGAAGGGTTTTAAAGATGAGTGCATATATGACTTTTATTAAATGAGACAGAATAGCAGTGCTGTGTCCCTTCTAACCTGCTGGCCAAAGTAAGGTGATTAACTTTAGATCTTGATCCATAGTAAGTTTAATTAGGCCAGAACGCCAGAAAATTAGCTGGAAGAGTCAGGCTGAGACTTTGCTTTGGTAGTATTTTTTACTTAATCTAATTTTGGCTAAGTGGATCAAGATAATGGTCATTGATGATCTGTAGTTTTGTTCAAGAGCACTTGGCTGGATATTATGGTGAATTCACAAAGAAATGTGATACTATCAGAATAACTAAATAAGTAAAATAACAGATAATACAAAGCATGATTGATTATTTTGTATAGTTCAAGTCAAGGAGATAGGACTACTTTAGATTGGATTTATCTAGAACAATTCATTGAGGAGATTAACAGTTGAACATAGGAACTGAAAGAGAAGCAATCTAGGTGAGGGAAACAATGTATTAAGTGTTAGAAGTGTGGACGCAGGAAAATACTTATATTTGGGAATCAGGATTGAGTAAGAGAATAAAAGAGATGCATCTGGGCAAGTATAATGAGGTCAAATTAAGGCCTTAATTGCTAGACCAGGGTTTCTCAATCTCGGCACTATTGGCATTTGGTGTTGTATAATTCTTTGTAATGATGGCCTGTCCTGTTTACTGTAGAATGTTTAGCAGCATCTGTTTTCTACTTACTAACTGCCAGTATCATTTTCCCTTCTTGCCCCCACCCCCACTTTCATGGCAATCATTCATTGTCTAAACATTGCCACTGTTCTCTTTGGGACAGAACTCAAAATTGTTCTTACTTGAGAACCACTGGTCTGGATTTATTCAGAAAATGTTAAATGACACAGCTGGAACTAGAGATGATGAGTAGAGGATGAGTTGTGTTGACTGACTGGCTTTTTAAAAAAGAGAAAATACAGGATTAGTAAAAAATGGCCCCAAGGTGATAACTGAATAACCAGTAGACTGGTAATCTGTTAGGTATTGTGTATATTTATAAATACTAATTACTGTTGCACTAGATCAATGAATGGAATAGTTAAGGTTGATAGACAAAGGTGATTCTTTATATTGCAAAGCTAAAATAAAACTGAATTAAATACTATTTTATTGTTCAGTATTTATCATGGGGAAAACTTAAGCATTGAATATTGTGAAGGAATTCTTGAAGACTGTTTTTTAATTCTGTATCTTTAAAAAATTCCCTAACTTCTGTTAGTTGAAATAGCTATTGCTTGGAGAGATTTTGATATATTTGTATATTTGAGAAAGGTACCTTTTATTTAACTGAATAGGAAGGAGGGATTTCAATTTTAATTTTTTTCCTAAAGAACAAATTCTGTTGTAGAGTTAGAATTACCTTTTTTAAAAAAGATTTTATTAGAGATCGATAGCACGCGAGCAGGAGCAGGGGGAAGGGGCAGAGGGGAGAGGGAGAAGCAGACTCCTCACTGAGCAGGGAGCGTGATGCGGGGCTGGATCCGAGGACCCCGACCAAGATCATGACCTGAGCCGAAGGTAGATGCTTAACCAACTGAGCCACCCAGTCGCCCCAGATTTACTTCTCTTCTAATGCTAAGAAGCATCTGACTTATTTCTCTAGTCTATTACCTTTAAAAAAAAAAAAAAAAAAGATGTAAGAGTGATGGATTTGGAACATGACACAGAGTCAGTTTGAATTTGTAATAATGAGACATTTTTCTTTGTAGCCTACAAAAATAGAATTATAGACAGCCAAAGACTGATTTTTTCATTGTCATTTTTCTCAAGCTATGCTTGTAACTAAATATTGTTTATCTCCATCCCTCAAGTGCATATGTATCAAAAAGAAGTGATGACTAATCAGATGAAGTTATTTTTCAGAAATCAAAGATAAAATTTGATATATTCCTGATGCCTGCAGTTGGAGTATGGATAATATATTATATTTGGAGAATGAAGGGTTGGGTAAGCTATTAGGATTTGGATTTGTGGAAAAATTTCAGATTCATCTAATATGTTAACAGATGTAAAGCATTTAAATATTTTTTTTCTTTTCAGATTGCTTTCTATTCAGATATGATTACAAAACAAAAACAATCAAAGAGTATCAGTTTCTCCATACTTTTTTTTTTTTTAAGATTTATTTATTTTTTTGAGGGAGAGAGGGAGAGAGTGTGCTCATGTGTGGGTCAGGGGAGGGGCAGAGGCAGAGGGAGAGGGAGTGGGAGAGAGAATCTCAAGCAGATTCCCCACTGAGTGCAGAGCCCCACGTGGGGCTTGATCCCCTGACCCATGAGATCATGACCTGAGCCTAAATCACCAGTCACTTAACTGACTGAGGCACCCAGGTGTCCCCCACCCCTATACTTTTAAAAAATGATTGGCATTGGCAACAACAACCAAGACAAAATCATAACAATTCTTAACATTTAGCAAAATTTACCAAGTAATAGCGAAGTTGGATTGGTCTCAGTTTTGATTAGGTACCCACATTTGTGCCCCAGTTATTCTAACTTTTATATCTACTGTTATTTTTATTGGTAAAAATTATTAGAAATAATTATTAGAAAAAATTATTAGAAATAATTTTTAGGTACTTTATTTTATTTTTTTAAGATTTTATTATTTGAGAGAGAGGGGGGGAGCACGAGAAGGGTGAGAGGCAGAGGGAGAAACACACCCTGCTGAGCAGGTAGCCCGATGTGGGGCTCCATCCCAGGACCCTGGGATCATGACCTGAGCTGAAGGCAGACGCTTAACCAACTGAGCCACCCAGGCACCCCTTTTTAGGTACTTTAAAAAATATCTCTCTTAATTATGCCATTGTTTGCAAGATGTTCCAGTCTTCTGTAGTTAGTATGCACAGACTCTTTTTGCCTTAGAAGTGTTTGGTCAACTCTGCTTATTATTTATTAGATTCTTATCTAAAAATATCTAGAAATTGTTATGATTATTATTTGTTTTTTTACCAGAAGTAGTTTTTCTTGGTAGGTTGGGTTTAATTATGAGTGGTATTAAAAAAATCATAATTTTCTTAATGGTTTGTATAACTGTTGGAGTGAAAAGAAGTTACCTAGTTGTGGATGATACTGGATTCACTCTCTGAAATTCAAGAAGCTTACAAATCCAAAGGTGTTTCCTAAGTTTGGTACAAACTTGTTTTTGGTAAAACCTAACTGGAAATGATAGTTTATTTGTAGTGTTTCCTTAAATATTTGTAAATATTTATACTTTTCCCTGCAGAAATGTGTTTGATTATAGGATAGTGCCATAGGTCTCACTGGAGATTTTTAAGTGTAATATATTGTGTATACACCATGCTTCCCTTCTAAAATCTGAAAAAAAAATCAAAATTCTGAAAGATACCTGGCTCCATAAGTTTCAAATAAGGTATTGTTGACCTACATGATATTGTTCTTGTATCCTACCTAAGATTGTTTAGGATGAGAGTGCTTTTTCACAACAGTTTTGAATAAGCTGTGGGTTCCTGCGTGGTAATCTTGAGATTGACAATTATTTTGTAGGGCCAATCAATATTTATTGTATGTTAGTCTGTATTTTTAATCGATTTAACTTGCAGGATTTTTTTTTTTAAGATTTTATTTATTAGAGAGAGAGAGAGCACATGAGAGGGGGGAGGGTCAGAGGGAGAAGCAGACTCCCTGCTGAGCAGGGAGCCCGATGCGGGACTCAGTCCTGGGACTCCAGGATCATGACCTGAGCCGAAGGCAGTCGCTTAACCAACTGAGCCACCCAGGCGCCATGCAGGATTTTTTTGTTTTTGTTTTTTAGCCATTTGTAAAGGATTTTTAGATACCAGATACTAATTGCAACTTTCTTTACTTTTTTTTTTAACTTTCTTTACTTTAATATCCATTTAATTATAGTAGCTAAGGCTGGTTGAGTTAACAGAAATTAAAATGGTGTGGAAACATAGACTTTTTTCACCATTTTATTATTATCCTTTTCTTAGTTATAGGCTCAAAGAATGTATCACCCTACAGGTTTTACTATAGTTGTTGGCCATGACCTATGACTAGTTGTTTCTTACTTCTTTAAGCTCCCCTTCCTTTTTTTTTTCTCCTCGTTATTTCAGATTTCAGATTTTTATTTGTTTGATTAGGTGTAAAGAGGATCAGAAGGTTACTGAGTAGTCTTGGGCCAAGATGGCCTGCACTGCCCTAGGCAGGAATGGAAGAAACTTGCTAGAAAGCTTGTAGTTCTGTATGAACTTTTTAATAGTCTAAGCCTATCTTTTTAGCGACAACCGTGGTTGTTCATTTCCAAGATGGATTCGTTTTTTAAAAAATTACTAATTTCTTTCATTCTGGGGGGGCTATCGTAGTTACTGCCTAGAATTTTTGAAAGTTTAGGTGGCTCTAATTGATATGAACAGTATCCTGATAGCAGGAAAATTGATAACTGCTCTTGCAACTTCCATTTACTATGCCACTGCTACTGTCTCCTTTCACCTGTGAACTTGATACTCCTAAAATTGATTAGTATGTTAGGGATGTTGACTATCATAAATAACCTGTGTTCATTGTTGCTGGGTAAAGAGTAAAATAAATGAGACCAAGTTTTTGGGCCAGGTTTTTCTTGTTCTGAATGTGACTCAATGCTTGTAAGTTCATACAGTTTATGAAATGAAGATGGAAGAGAAGAAGAATTTGGTCTGTATTATATCATTAAGTTAAAATCAAGTGCCCAATTTAAAAAGAAGCACCTTTACTTTTAGGGAAAAAAAATTGTTTCTAGGGTACCGAATATAGCATGAGCCATTTGACACAAGATAGTGCTCCTCTTTTGAAAGCATATTTTAATTTAGAGTTACATATAGTCATCTTCATTAGTGCTATATTGAATTAGAACCATTATACCAACTTCATTGATTTATTATTTAATCAGGTTGGGAATGTCTACCATTCTTTGACTTAAATTTGTTTATATTGTTTTGCAAGTTACTCACAAATTTTGGTGGTTTCATTTGTGTCAGCGTTGTGTGTGTGTGTGTGTATGTATATACATATGTGTGGTTTTTTTTTCTCATATTTTCAACAGATTCTGAAGGGAGTGGTAATGGAAGTGAAGATCCTTCAAAGGACAGTGGAGAAGGTTCCTGTAGTGATTCTGAAGAAAATATTTTAGAAGAAGAACTGAATGAAGATATTAAAGTAAAAGAAGAACAACTTAAAAATTCTGCAGAGGAAGAAATACTGTCATCAGAAAAACAGTTAATTAAAATGGAAAAGAAGGAGGAAGAAGAGAATGGAGAAAGACCTAGAAAGAAAAAGGAGAAAGAGAAAGAAAAGGAAAAAGAGAAGGAGAAAGAAAAGGAGAAAGAGAAGGAGAGAGAGGAAAAAGAAAAAGCAACAGTATCTGATGCTGTGGCTGCTTCTGCTGCTTCCACCACACCAGCCACAAGTCCTCCTGCTGTTAACACATCTCCTTCAGTCCCCACTACGACAACCACTACAGAGGAACAAGTCAGTGAGCCAAAAAAGTGGAACCTTCGTCGAAATCGACCACTTTTGGATTTTGTATCCATGGAAGAGCTGAATGATATGGATGACTATGACAGTGAGGATGACAATGATTGGCGACCTACTGTAGTAAAGAGAAAGGGGAGATCTGCATCTCAGAAAGAAGGAAGTGATGGAGACAATGAGGATGATGAAGATGAGGGAAGTGGGAGTGATGAGGATGAGAATGATGAAGGCAATGATGAAGATCATAGCAGCCCTGCCAGTGAAGGGGGTTGCAAGAAGAAGAAGAGTAAAGTTCTTAGCAGAAACAGTGCTGATGATGAGGAACTGACCAATGATAGCCTGACACTATCTCAAAGCAAGAGTAATGAGGTAGATCAACCCAATTTTTATGATATCTGTCTGTCTGGGGAAAAGGGAATTCTTCTCTAAACCATTCTACTCATTATATTAAGTAGCTTCCTTGAAATCCTGTTTATAGACAGCTGTGGGAGTGAATGAGCGCCCTAACTGTAACATTTATTCATTTGGTCAACCAGCCTTTATTGAGTATCTACTATTTGTCACCGTCCTCAAGGAGCTCATAATCACCGTCCTCAAGGAGCTCACAGTCTTTGTAGTTAGAGAAATATTTTTATATCCATAGACTAGGAATATGGTAGTTTTCCTTTCCCCTTTCTATCCTCTCACCCCATTCTTCATAGACTGCTGAATGGTGCTGAGTGGAGTATGAAAACAAAGGTCACCTTTATTTCAACTTAGCTATGTCCATATCCACATGAAAATTTAGACTTCTAGACTACTTTAGAGCAGGACAACAAACAGCTTAATGATTGCCTCAGACTTTGAGAGATTGATTTTAAGGTTAATTCCTTTACCAGTTGTAGCACTCATCATCTGAATAGTCACCAAGTCTTTGCTTTAGATGTATGGGAGTAAATAAGAACTATATGTTTACATATATTTAGTGAATAAGTTCTCTCTACAAAGAAATGAAAAAGAAAAATCAAACACTCCTATCATAAGACAAACATTTCTTTCCTAAAACTACAGTAATGACTCAGTTCTTCCACTTGAAGTTCTACTACCGAAAGTTAGGTTTATCCTTTGGGCCCAAGATGCAACATTCAAGATTCTTCAGTCAAACACATTTGTGTCTCTTTGTCTGTGTGTTTATGTATATGTTTTTCTTCAAAAGCAAGATTGAGTTGTCGTCATACATGTAGATGTACCTGTTACATCAACATGTAGAACTATAATAATTAAGTCTGTCATTTCTGTTAATGCATTTGTTGTCACAAAAATTCAGTTCTTTAGCAAGCACTTATTTTTTGTTTTTTCATATCATTGAAAAAGGTTAAACTGGTAGAAGGATTTTTCTTCTATGCTGTATTCTTTTAAATTTCTTCTACTTACAAGTTTTACATAGCATTGATTACCTATTTTAAGTAAGTTTCATTTAAAAACTTTGTGATTTTTTTCTTGCCAAAATATAAAGTAACAGGCTCTGAGGGGCTTATATGTCAGTAGTGATGAAACAGCAGGTTATAATAAATATATATATTATAAACATTGGTTAACTTCTAGGTTATCTACTTGCATATGAAGAATGTTGCCTGCCTCCAGTGCTATCTATCTAAAGTCTTATCTTTAGGTAACGGGAAATTGTCATTTGGAATATAATATAGTATTTATATGCTGTAGCACAAACAGTTCCATATTCCCAGTGCCAATTTAGGGAAATAGAAATATGGAAAAATCAGTTGTTCATATTTGATGTAGGCTTGTATCCAGTTTATTTTATAGCATTTAGTAGTCAATATCTACTGAATAAGTTTACCTTTGGCAGCATTACTTTCTTCATTTTTATTAGCCTGACATTCACAAAAGTAAGCTGGCTAATGATAAAGACAGAGTTAGATTTTATGTGTTGGTGTGGGGAATACCTGCAGATGTTTAGGAATTTGCCAGGTAAAATGTATACATTATCCATTTGTTAATAATCTGTAATACATAAAATACTGCTTAGGAGGTTGTAGACTCTCGTTTATGATGCATTGGAAGGCCACATATGCTTTTAGGTTTTTTTCTACCAGGAGAGACTTTAGTAAATAATGGGACTTCATATATTTAGGTTAAGTCCCAAAGGAATGTGATTCCAGAGCGCCTCAGTAAAGTTGTCAAGAACTTTCTTCTTACAGTCGCTAAATTAACTCTTGTGTTAATTTGTGTTAATTTTCCTTTTGTTCTACCCTATGCAGAAATGCAGAAGAACTGATAGAAAGTTAATTTTAACTCAGTAATGTTCTACCTGAAATCTTGGTAACTGTTTTTCCCCAACACCAGTAATTTTTGATGATTCTACTTCTATTTGTCACTCAAATTAGATGACAAATTTTAATAAAAACTAATCGGGATTATTATTTTATCTGACATTTCTAAATTTCCTGTTCATATGTGCTTGATTTTGTAAAAAAGATGACTAATGGTAATTCTTGTTGCTTTACGGCCATTGTTTGTATCTTAATCTTCCTAGTTATTTTAGGTAGATACTTTGGCATCAAGGTATCAATTATCTGTTAGTTAATACAGATGTATTTGATTATATTTGAAGTTTTATTTTTCTCTACTTTTACTTTAGGTTTTCAAATACGGCTTTGTAGTAGAGATAGCTGAAAGTGTGGTTTTAGTATTACATAATTGAATTATATTTAGTTTATAAACAGCAAACTTTCTTGGCTGTTATGTCAAGTGCTTTTGTAGGGAAATGATGTTGGACATCCTGTAAGTGATGTCAGAAGCTTTAATAATTTTGAAGTTTTTTAGGGAATTTGATTTTTTTCTTTGAGCGGGGGGCCTTTTATTAACTCTTAAGGGACTGGATCCCAGGACCCTGGGATTATGACCTGAGCCTAAGGCAGATGCTTAACCATCTGAGCCACCCAGGCACCCTGTAGGTTATAGCTTTTGTTATTTACTATTTCAAATTAAAACTCAGGAATTTCAAAAATTAAGACATACAGAAGCATACAAGTTGTCAGATTGATGACCCTATCCCCTGTTGTATAGTTCTGGAAGACTATATCATACGCATATGAGAGAGAGTGAAAAAGGCAAACAACCTTAGTATTAGTATGAAAATAGCCTTTAGCTTGTAGACCCTGTGAAGCAGAGTGTCCCACAGACCACACCTTGAGAACTGTTCTACAATTGGACATTTGATAAACCTACATTTTCTACATATGGGCACTTTCCTTGGCCTATAGAATTAATGACATTTTTTGAATTTATTGCAGTCTGAACAATCCCCTTGGAGTATCATTATATGCCACTTTCAAACTTTTATCTTGATGCTTTTGAGATTAACTGATGTTATATTATTGCTTTTTGGTTTTCTGAAGTAAATCTTCTGGGGATGGGTGTGTAGCATTTTCAGAGAATGGGTCACATTTTCAGGACTTTGACTCTAGAGCTTTGGTTGAGGATTAATATTTGATAGAAGATAATTTCAGTAGAAATTTTCAGGTGGAAGTTTTTTGGTTTCTTTTCATAAAAGGCTCTCATGTTAAGTGGATTATTAGATGTTAAATGGTTGTGAAGAAATGGCAATTGTCATCTGATTTTTGGTAATTAAAATTTTTGCCAAAATTTATAAATAGCCACTTCTATTTGGGGTTTCTGACTTAAGTATCAATTGCTTTTTATACATTTCAAAATAAAACAACTGCTTTTTTTTTAAGATTTTATTTATTTACTTGAGAGGGAGAGAATAAGCAGTGGGGAGGGGTAGAGGTAGAGAGAGAGAGAGAGAGAGAAGCAAACACCCTGCTGAGCAGGAAGCCTGATCTGGGGCTGGATCCCAGGACCCCAGGATCATGACCTGAGCCAAAGGCAGATGCTTGACCAACTGAGCCACCCAGGCGCCCCAGAACTGCTTTTTGTTCTGTTTTGTTTGTTTGGTTTTTTTAAAGATTTTATTTATTTACTGGAGAGAGAGAGAGAACACAAGCAGGGGGGAAGGGTGGAGGGAGAAGCAGACTCCCCGCCAAGCAGGGAGCCCGATGTAGGACTTGATCCCAGGACCCTGGGATCATTGACCTGAGCCGAAAGCAGATGCTTAACCAGCTGAGCCACCCAGGCGCCCTTAAAATAACTGCTTTAATACATAAAAAGTTCAAAATATTGTACAAAAATTACTTCAGATTCTTGAGAATTTAATTTTCTTTAAAAACTTGGAGACCTGTTGGGCGCCTGGGTGGCTCAGTTGGTTAAGCGACTGCCTTCGGCTCAGGTCATGATCCTGGGGTCCCTGGATCGAGTCCCGCATCGGGCTCCCTGCTCAGCAGGGAGTCTGCTTCTCTCTCTGACCCTCCCCCCCCATGTGCTTTCTCTCTCTCTCAAATAAATAAATCTTTAAAAAAAAAAAAAAACTTGGAGACCTATTGCTCAAACTTTTTGGTGTACTTTTTCCTCATATTCAGAGCAATAGGATTCTTTTAATTCTAGTTTTGCGTGAAGTGTTCAGGAATTCCCTTTTATTAAACACACACAAAACTTAGAATTTACCTGTTGTATATTATTATTTGTAATCTTTTTTTTTTAAACATTTCATTTATTTATTTGACAGAGAGAGAGATAGTGAGAGCAGGAACACAAGCGGGGGGAGTGGCAGAGGGAGAAGCAGGCCTCCCACTGAGCAGGGACCCCGATGCGGGACTGGATCCCAGGACCCTGGGATCACGACCCGAGCCGAAGGCAGACACCCAACGACTGAGCCATCCAGGCGCCCTGTAATCATCTTTGTGGACTATATAAATAAACACTAAACCCATGGAGAGCATTGGACAATATTATTATTTTAGGTGTAAATTTTAAATCCCAAGGGAAAAAAATGAATTGGTTTACTATAAGTAGTCATTGGTTTATTACTATAGTGCCCCATTTATTCTTCTAATTGCCCTTAGATTGCATTGAGTTATGACATAATATTAAAGTTCTATACTAGGTGATACTCTTGTGCCATTCAAAACCTACTTTCCCAATTTCTATTTTTATGTAAAAATCATATTTTCAAATAATTTTTGGTAAAAACTTTAGCTTGACTATTTTGTCCAGAAGCTAAAAAAATGATACACATCTTCAGAAATATGCTGATAAAAATTGTTACTAAATTTGCTTTTATATTCTGATAAGTGTGCTCAAACCCTTATTTGATGTATTAAAGACAGAGCATAATTTTTTAAGAGAATGTGTTACTAAGATTTTCCCACTGAAGCATTATTTGTCAGTCATTTGGTGGGGCTCAAGTTCCCCCCATTTCTCTTTCTTTGCATTACATTTCTGGTAAAAGTCTCAAATGATGGGAATCCCAGAAATACCAGTTGATTTTGTTTTCTCTGCCTCTAAATGATAGTATGTGTAGAGAGAAATTGTACAGATACACAATTTAGACGTTTATTGTTTTTTCTGAGCAAAATGGAAGAACAGGGAAATAATGGAATCAGAGCTACCTATTAATGCTTGTTTTTCTGATCCATAGACATTTACTTGTTCCCCACATGGGTAAACCTTTTTTTAAGCACTCATTAGTTGTAATTCCACCAGAAAAGTATTGACAGAACCCATTTTACACGAGTAGCCTGTCAATCATCAAACTCTGGTTATTGGCTAGATCTTTTTCTAGTTTGTGATTATTTTTAACCCAGATGTGGTATTTTGGGAAAAAAGTCTTTTGGGACTTAGCATAGGAAAATATTTAAAGTAGCAGTACTTACTGAGGGTTACAACTTTTGGGGGGATTCCAAGGAAGATTCCTCAGTATAGTAAATGGTCAGCTCATATTCCTCTTGAACCACCTACAAAGAATTAGGAAAGGAGAATGGAAATGAACATTATTATTGAGTACCTAGTATATCTCAGGAACATTTTTACCATACAATTATCTTAATTTTCACAAAAATCTCATCAGGTAGGTATTACTTTTACCATCCCATTTTACAGATGAGAAAACCGTCACTTCGAGGTTCAACAGTTATTAAATGAGAACTGAGAATGAAACACTAGGACATTAGACTTTAAGTCAAATGCTTTTAAATTTGAAGCATAGCTAATGGGGTGAACATTTGGGTAGATTTTTGTTTTGCTCAATGTACGAAAGTACTATAAACCATGAGTTTTCTTTTTAGGAAGTTTGTACCTTTATCTGGTACTCATGTCCAAAGCCCACAAACTACTTCGGTTTTTTAACAAAGAGGAGCAAAAAAAAAAAAAAGCAAAATATACCATTTTATTTTATTTTTTTTAAAGGTAAGTATCTCTTTTTCTTTTTTTCCAAGATTTTATTATTATTTATTTGACAGAGACACAGCAAGATAGGGAACACAAGCAGGGGGAGTGGGAGAGGGAGAAGCAGGCTTTCCGAGGAGCACGGAGCCTGATGCAGAGCTCGATCCCAGCGTCCTGGGATCATGACCTGAGCCAAAGGCAGACACCCAACAACTGAGCCACCCAGGTGCCCCCAAATACACAATTTTAAAGTACTAGGATTCTCTAGAGCAAGGACACCGCCTCCTTGTTGACTTTGCATTCTTTTCTGATTTGTTTTACAGATAGCTGCAAGTTTAGATGTATAACACAGAATTTAAAAAAAAATGTTATTGATGTGACATTTTAAGTGTCATTCAGATGTCATTTACGGATTGCTATGAAATGATGACTCTAAATGTTACCTGTGGATATTGGTCTGTTTAAAAGAATATAAAAATATAAAAAAAAGTGGTTAGGTTCTTAAATAAAAACATAAACTCATAAGTTCTATCTTATATCCCAATCTGATAATGTAAGAATATAAGAATCATTATATTGTTAATCATTTAAAGTTTAAATCTGTAATGCAGTTTAAACAAAGCAAATTCTTTTCTTTCTTGACATTTTATATTATGTCCTTTCTCCTTTTATATTATAATTAGCTCAGTATCTTTATTATCAGTTATACTAGATTTTTTTTTTTAAGATTTTCTTTATTCATGAGAGAGAGAAGGAGGCAGAGGGAGAAGCAGGCTCTCTGTGGAGCAGGGAGCCCAACGTGGGACTCGATCCCAGGACCCTGGGATCATGACCCAAGCTGAAGGCAGATGCTCAACCAACTGAGCCACTCAGGCGCCCTATACTAGATACTTCTTGACACGAACCTAATAGAGTACTTCACACTTTAGCAACTAGACAACCTGGATCCTTTTTTAGATGGTTTTCTGTACCTGTATGTACAGATATGCCTATACAGGCTCTCTTGGATCTATCATCCAGTGGTTTGATGATCCTGAAACTTACTGAATTCCTCAGCTGTTAAGGAGTATAGAGTCTGTAATTATGCCATCACATACATATTTGCTTATATGTTATCTTGGATTGATTTTTTCTTGTTTGATATATGTGTGTCTTGTCTCCCTTAAGGCAGGATTATAAGCTTCCAAGTGTAGGAACCATGTCTTACACTTTTTAAATCCATTGTAGGATTAATAATTACCTGTGGGTTAATTTTTCCTTTCTTCTAGTTTAAGGGGTCAGACTATAATCCAGAATGGCAAAGCAGATGAAGAGTTGTCAGTTGCATGCTTGCTCTTTGATTTCTTAAAGGAGGGAGAATATGGAACTTGCAGAGAAAATGCAAAATTAAAGCGTGCTTAGAGGGTCATTTGACAAAGAAATGGACTTTTCAAGTGTTCTGAAATTACTATTTTCAAACTAAATTACTAAAATAATGGAGAATGCAGCATAATTTTAGAAATGCATAAAACAACTTTGAGGATTATAGTTATTAAAATTATCTTTTAATTTAAATATGTGATTTTCTGGTATGTTTTAATATTAGGACTCGCTGATTCTTGAGAAGAGTCAAAACTGGAGTTCTCAAAAAATGGACCACATTCTGATTTGCTGTGTTTGTCTTGGAGATAATAGCGAGGATGCTGATGAAATAATTCAGTGTGACAATTGTGGCATTACAGTCCATGAAGGTAATTTCGCTTTGTTTTGTCTGCTTTTTGAAACAGCTAATTGACACTGCATTTAAATAAGTAAAGTCAGCTCTTTTACATTTGTACTCTTGTAAAGTTTTTCTATAGTATTTCATGGTTTTTCAACTGAAGTAGGACATATTGAATCCTCAATGTATCCTGGGTGTTATTTTTCGGATTATGTTAATTTAAAATGTGTTTTAAATAACTGAAATAGAAATATTATATGGAAATCACAGTATTTCTTTGAAGGTCAGTGTTATGATAGTTTCCTTCATGGCATTTGTTTAAAATGAAATTTAGATATAGGAAAAAGTCTAGTATGTTAGCCTGGTAGATTATGTTATTTAAAAAATTACATTCTGAATCTAGTGATACATAGTTTCTTCTTTTGTGGTTATAATTTTTAATTTTAAACTTGAGTATTTAGAGAGATTATCCTTTAAAATCTGAAATAGAAGCTACTATAATATATTGAAAATATTTTTCCCAATTATTTTTGAACCTTTTTTGTTAGGTTTTTTTACTTCTTTTTTCACTTGAATTTTTTTTTATTTTGACATAATTTCTGACTTACAGAAAACTTTCTTAAGAGTACTACAAAGAATTCCCATATACTCTTGACTCAGATTTCCCAAATGGCAACGTTTTGCTGTTTTATTTTCTCTGATACAACGATTTCATTTTCAACTTTATGAGAATAAACTGTAGACATAACATCCCCTCCTACCACTAAATACCTCAGTGTGTATTTCTTAACAAGGGCATTTTCTTACATAACCATATAATTATCAAAGTCAGGAACTTAGCTTTGTTTGAATTCTTCTAATCTATTAACTCTGTTCACATTTTGCCAATTATCCCTATATGTCCGTTCTAGCAAAATAAAATCCAGGATTATGTATTAGATTCAGTCATTATGTCTATTTGGTCACCTTTAATCTAGAACATTTCTTGAGTCCTTGCGTTTCATGCCATTGGCATTTTTGAAGAGTACAGGCCAGTTCATTTATAGAATGTCCTTAATCCTAGTTTTTTCTTTTCTCATGGTTAGATTCAGGTGACATGCTTTTGGCAGAAGTGCCACAGAAGTTATGTTGTGTTTTCAATGTATCCTATTAAGAAGCATATAGTACTTACTTTTCCCATTATTGGTGATGTTACTTATCACTTGGTTGAGAGGGTATCTTTCAGGTTTCTCTCTGGTAAAGTTATTATTTCTTCCTCTCAGTGAATTTTTTCCTACGGGGCCACGATCACCACAGAACAGTTTTTCTGTGGCCTTGTCCTTGCCTGCTCTTTTGGTGTTACAGCCCTTCTTCCATGTAGTTCTGGGAGTCTGCTGGGCTTGTGGGACCTGCAGAGCCTGTGCTTCTTTAGCCAGTACCCTCTTGATGTCACATAAAGCTGCCCTTCCTTGCTGCTGAGGCTCACCACAGAAATGTCTCCTATTACTGTTACTCATTCACTTATTTTTTTCAGTAATGTTTGTTGAGTACCTTCTATGCGCTAGGCATTCTGTAGATTTTAGGCAAGTAAAATAAACTGTAGGAATTGCTGACCTCCTGGAGCTTAATCTCTAGTAAAACAGGCAATGAAAAAATAAAACAATAAGTAAATATATATCAGGTCATCGTCTGAACTGTGAAGAAAAACAGGGCAGGACAAGCCGTATTGGGAACGCTGTGGATTGCGGTGGGGAGCTTGAGTGGGCAGGCGGAGGCTCGGACTTACAAAGCTGAAAAGGGAAATCCTCTTTAAGAAGGTGATATTTGAGCAGTGACCTGAGGAATGTTAGGAAGCAAGTCACGTGACTCTGGGGAAGGAGCACCCTAGGGAGAAGGAGTAGCAAGTGTCAGGATCTTGAAGGGGGCACAGTCGGAGTGTGATATGGCAGGAACTAAGTGAGCAAGCTGGTGAGTGGTGGCGGTAGAGACGGGGGCAAACCACGTACGCAGATCTTGCAGGTCAGAGATTTTAGATTTGACTATAATGGATGAATTTTGGGCAGAGGATTAATATGATTTGATTTCTGTTTGGGAAGGATCACTCTGCTGGGTTGGGAGTAGACTGAAGTGGGTCTAAGTGGAGAACCAGGGAAACCATTTCGGAGACCACTGCAGTGATGTAAGAGAGGAAAAGGTTTTGAGGTAGATAGTAAAAGTTTGGTTTTAAATGGTCTGGAGTTTAGTAATGTTGGGACTCATCAGCCTGTAGATGTTATTTAAAGCTGTGAAACTGGATATGCTATCTAGGGAGTAGTAAGGTGGTTCTAGCATTTCAGAGGAGATGGAAATCACATGGTCAGTGGGATAGGAGGAGAACCAGGAGTAATGACCCAGAGGCTAGGTAAGGAAAATGTTTCAAACAGAGAAAGTGAGTAACTGTCAAATTTTGTTTCTAGAGTCAGATAAAGACCTATGTCATGTGGCCAATTATCCTAATGCAGTGGTAGACTCCTGAGTATACTACCAGGCAAGCCATCCCAAAGGTTGTAGGAGAAAAGGGTCATGGACAAAATGCTTATATTACATGGTTTATTAAATAAGTAAAATACATGGAGAAAAGCAAAATACATGGGAAATTGTGTCTTGTGACTAATTTGGAAATATACACCGTAATTTCTGCACATTGTTCACACAGACCAATCCTATTTAAATTTAAATGTAGGAGGGCACATTCTAAAATTGTTAATACGAGGGCACTGATCATTGGTGGCCATCTTAGAGGCTGCCTATCACAGATGCAGAGATTATGTAGCATGTTAGTATACTGTACTAACAGGGAAGTGACCAGTGGAAAGGGAGAGTTGACAATTAAGATAAGGAGAGAAAGGAAGCAGTTGCTGGAGCAAGGGCTTTGAGTACAAGGCTAGAGGGGATGGGATCCAGCACCAAGTGAGGGGATTGAGTAAATATGAGTATCCATAGTAATCAGAGGGAAAAGGATATATGGATACAGATGTAGGTAGGTTGTTAGATGTGGGGGTCAGAGCATGTGCAACTTAGTTTTGAATGCTTCTTGTTGTCTCGGTGAAATGGGAAGCAAAGTCATTAGCAGAGAGTGGAGGTGGGGGAGATGTTGGGAGATTGGGGAAGAGAGGTTGGTATAAAATAGTTATTTGGCAGAATGAAGTGGACTACGGAAATAGTGGCATAATATTGTATGTGTGTATACATACATATATATTTTATTGACAGCTATAAAGGACCACTTGTGATTAGTGATAATGAATTAAACAGACGAGTCAACATGGTTGTGTGTATGTCTGTTTTTTGTTTTTTTGTTTTTTGTTTTCTCCCTGCATGGTTCAGATTCCTTGGAGCAGGTGCAGAATAGGTAAACATCAAAAAGCAGCTGCTGTGCTGCTGATGTGTAGCTAATATGTGGAATAAATAAATAAGGAAAACTAGGTGGGGAAACTGAACAGTTTTCTACATCTTTAGGAGAATCTTTATGTTGTGGTATAATTGCTTTGTTGGTAGTATTGGGAATTCTGTGAACTTCAGATAAATTCAAAGTGCAAAGTATAAATCAAAAGTAAAACATAAATCTTGAGAGTTTTTAAAAAAAATTATGTTACAACTTTTTCCCTCTAGTATAATTTCCCATTTCCTTTGTTAATCTTGGAGTTTGATATGTAATTGTGATTATATAATTTTCCTTTTTTTTTTTTCCCCGTGGTTTCTTAGTAGAGTTAGAACTAATAGCTTGAAAAATTCCTAGTTCTGGTGATTTTTAATTATCTGTTATGCTTTAGGGAAGAACTGTTAGTTATTTTTTTTAAAGATTTTATTTATTTATTTGAGAGCACAAGCCACTGTGTGTTTATGTGTACTAGTTGGGGGGAGGGGCAAAAGGAGAGGGAGAAGCGGACTCTCTGCTGAGCAGGGAGCCTGATGCGAGGCTCCATCCCAGGACCCTGGGATCATGACTTGAGCTGAAGGCAGACGCTTAACAGACTGAGCCACCCAGGCACCCCAAGGGGAAAAGTTATTAAAGATTAATGTATTTCTCATAAATACATTACATAAATATATTTTTCCTTTTAACTTAATTTCCTGTAGGTTATTTTTGTCTGACTAGTATAAAAGATTCCTTTACCAGATATCACTGAGTACTATGTTTGAGAAGGGGTTGTTTTGATAAGATATATTCCTGACTCTCCATTTAAGTCTTTTTGGGTAATACTTGGGTAGTTTCAGAAAGAAAGTATATTGATTAATAGATCTGTGAAGAATTTTTCATCTTCCATGGGCTTTACATCAGTTGAGTCTACTAATAGAAAAATAAAAATAAAAACAAAAACAAAAAACCCTGCTTAATATTCATTGGTTAGGTGATTGGTTTTCTTTTCTGGTTAAGAGTAATGATGGTAATTCTTAGTATAATAATGTGCAGCCTGATCAGTATATAATTTGCTGGTCCCTTTTTGGGTCATCACACTGTTGCCAGCCTGTGTTAATTAAAGCCTGGGTTGAAAAAATAAACAGTGACATGTGACTTGGTCCAAATAATTTAGATTTTTTGTTTTTTTGTCCCTTTCTAGGTGTACCATGTTCGTAGTCCTTTTTAGTTTTTAGTTTTGTTTTTCTCTAAAATGGGGTCAGCATCTTCTTAGAAGTGTCAGTTCTTCACTATCCTAATGGGAGCTTTCATGACTGCTTAATTATTTTAATTTTTAAGGTCTTTCCCCCTATATAACTGAATTCTTGCTGCATCTAAAGTGATTGGTAGATAAGTTTTAAAAAATGTTCAACTCACAGCATTTATTTTTAAAAGATTTATCCATCTATTTTGAGGGAGAGAGAGAGAGCGCGCGCACAAGTGAATGAGCAGGAGGGGCAGAGGGGGAGGGAGAGAGAATCCCAAGCTGGGTCCATCTCAGGACGACCCAAGCCAAAACCAAGAGTCAGAGGCTCAACTGACTGCACTACCCAGGCACCCCTGGGTAAATTTAAATTTAATTTAAATTTTATTTAAATTAAAATGTCAGTCTTACCTATTTCAGTATTTTTTTTTTTAAAGTGTTGCTACTTAGAGTAGGGTCCATGGATCCACAGCATTAAGCAGTAGCATTTATATAACCTGGGAGCTTGTTAGAAATGCAGAATCACAGACCAAGTCCCTTCTGAATCAGAATCTATTTTGACAAAATCCCAAGATGTTTCATATACACATTAGAGCATTAGCTCCATTGATAATACAAAGAAGTAGCCCTGCAATGCTTATCAGGATAGCTAAACTTGAATATTTTCAAGATTATCATTGGGCCCATTTAGCACCAGTGTATTCAGAGGATAGAAGAACAAAACCATAGCTTGCCACCAAGGCAGCCTCATGCCTTCTTTTTGTGAGTCTTTGTAGCAGTCCCTACAGCAAGCAGCTCCCAGTCATTTGGGAGCCATCTTCTTTGGGCTATGTCATTCTCCCCCACTTATCCCCATTTATTGTTACTCTCAGTTCAGATGCAGTCTACCAATTGGGTCCTTTTTACCATAAGCAATATTTCCAAGTAACACGATTGATACTCTTTATCAGGTTCCCAGAGTAACAAAGGTAGAAACTTAAACAAAAGTCAGAGTCTAATGAAGCAGGGGAAAGGGTTAACGGAATCACTGGGAATCCTACTAGTTCTCTATACTGAGGACTAAGAGACAAAGGACTCTAATGCATGAGTCCCTCTTGGACCTGCCTTCTGTTGACCATAGCAATAGCTATCATGTACGTAAACCACTGAAAGTATTGAAATTTCTTTTTTGTATCCCGCCCCCCCCGCAGGCTTCCCTGTTACTGTCTTTTGAGTCATAGATCCCATCAGCATTTCTCTCTCTCTAGTGTTGCTCTTTTTACCACCTAGAGAGGATTGGAGAGAGATTTGGTGAGCACAACTTTCTCTATGATGTTGATGTAAACATTAATTACTATTTAAATAATTTCTTTTGTTACCTTGATTCTATAAATATTTAAATGTAAGATGCGGTGCTAGCAAACAGGAGGATGTACCAGATATAGTCTCTGCTGTTTTTATATAATAGGGGAAAGAAAACATGTAAAATAAGAGCAAAGAATAACGTTTTTCAAGTGAGTTATAAATTCTGTGCTGTGGGTGTATTGAGTGCATCATACCTTATTGGTAAATCTAGGTGACTTGTGAGTTAATTGTATGTTCTCTTTTTGTAACTGATTTCAGGAGGTTCATTGGTGCATCAAATTGAACACACCCAAGGAAGGGTTGAAAGCAAAGAACTTTTTATTGTTACAAGTAAGGGGACAGGGAAATAGCTCTCAGTACTGTCTCCCATGGGGTTAGTACAGGAAGCTTTTATTCAGTATTAGGGGGTGGGGGCAGGGAACTTGTGTGGGCACTTCCGGTTCAATTGTACATGCTTAATATGTCAGCATGCTAGTGGTTACATCATATGTTCAAAAAATGGCAGAAAGCTCCACCCATAGGAGAAGATTTTAGTATTATAATGAGCTAAGGATAACTTTATATGATAACTCAGGGGGCTTTTGTGCAGGTCCTCAGCTCCATCCCAGCTCAAACTGGCTCTTCTAAGGAGCTGTCAGGTAAGACACACCTGGCAAGACACACCTGTCAGGTGAAACACCTAGTTGGGTGTTTCCTTGGCTGGAACTGTCCGTTCTGCAAAATAAAACACACTCCTTCGCTGCTTTTGTCCCTTCTCCTCCCTTTCTGCTCGTAGTGTTCAGCCCTCTTATCTGAGTAACTTTCTGTTGCATCCTAGCTAACATTTTGATAAGCAAACAATAGGCTGCTAATCCTTGCACTAACATATATATTTCTGAATATATTGTATTTAGCTTACTGCTTTTTAGTTCTGTGAAATTTTAAGGTATTTATGATTTTTACCACATTTTATACTATTAGATTTATTTATGGGCTGTTAATGCAACTTTTTCTTTGCATTTAGAAATCACTTTTTTTTTAAAGATTTTATTTATTTATTTGAGAAAGAGAATGAGATAGAGAGCATGAGAGGGGGGAGGGTCAGAGGGGAAGCAAGACTCCCTGCTGAGCAGGGAGCCCGATGCAGGACTCGATCCCGGTACTCCAGGATCATGACCTGAGCCCAAGGCAGTTGCTTAACCAACTGAGCCACCCAGGCCTCCTAGAAATCACTTTTTCAAGGCTCCTATTATGTGTTTGCTTTTTAGTGTTATGCTCCTGTTCATTAAAATATGTTCATCGAGGAACTGGAGGTTATTATGCTGAGCGAAGTAAGTCAATTCGAGAAAGACAACTATCATATGGTTTCACTCATATGTTGAATATAAGAAGCAGCACAGAGGATCATAGGGGAAGGGAGGGAAAACTGAATGGAAAGTAATCAGCGAGGGAGACAAACCATGAGAGACTCTTAACTCTAGGAAATAAACCGAGGGTTGCTGAAGGGGAGGTAGATGGAGGGCTGGGGCAGTTGGGTGATGGGCATTTAAGAGGGCATGTGATGTGATGAACACTGGGTGTTATATTGCAACTGATGAATTGTTGAACTCTACATCTGAAACTAATGATGTACAATATGTTGGCTAATTGAATTTAAACAAAATAAAAAAAATTAAGCTCATAGAAGCAGAGATTACTTTGTGTTTGTAGAGACAAATTATATTTCTTGTGAAAAATATTTTCAGCACAGAATCATAAATATTGTTTATTTTTAGAAATGGGTGTAAGACAATTTACAGATATTTTATATATGTATAAAATGGGTATAATCTTATTTATTTTTTTAAAGAGAATGTGAAGTAAAACCTTGATGAATTTGTTTTTTTTTTAATTCTGTGGTAAATAATCAGTGGCAAGTACTTTTGTCTGTGTATCTGTATGCACATGAGAAAGCAAGACAAGTCTGGAAGAATACATATCGAAGTTTAAAGTATGTTTATCTCTAGGTAGTATGATGATGGAAGATGTTTTCTTTAGCTCATTTTGTTGCCAACTATGTGAATTAGGGATAATAAGTTGGTTGGAGGTATAGTCTTGAATGATTGAAGCCACTGTACCTATATAAGGATTGGAATCTGTGAATATCTTGTTTAACAAGTTCCTGTGTTTTTTACATAGTTAGAGTCTAAAACTCCTGTATGTTTCTGTTTCTGCCATGGTTGTGGCTATTTGGTGGTATACAAAATAAATAATAATGCTTTTAGAATAGAGATAATTGTCTGATGTTCTATCCAGTGGTCTCAGATTTTATAAAAGATTATCACCTGAGGTACTTGATTTTTTTTCTTTTTCTTTTTCTTTTTTTTTTTTAAGATGTATTTATTGTAGAGAGCACGCGTCGGTGCTGGAGGGAGGGGCAGAGGGAGAGGAGAAAGAATCTCAAGTAGGCTCCCCGCTCACCAGAGATTAATGCCCCACTTGATCTCAAGATCCTGAGATCATGACCCGAGCTGAAATTAACAGTCAGTCGCTTACCTGACTAGCCACCCAGGAACCCCCTGAGGTGCTTGTTTAAAACAGATTCTTGGGTACTACTCCTAGAGATTCCCAATTCAGTAGGTCTGGGGTGGGGCTCTAGTATCTACAGTTTTAAAAGGTGCGTTGGGATTCTCTTGCAGGAGGTGGGGAAGATCATCCTTTGAGAGACATTGGTTTAGAAGGAAGTAAAATTTGAGAGAGAAAAAGAATGCGTAGGTGGTTGTCATGCCGGAACTTAAGACAGCTGCAGATACAGGTCATGGCAAGGAGCCAGGGCAATGTAGAATAAAGTATACTTTCTGGTATAAGGTGGGTAAGACTCACAATAAGATTTTTAAAAGTTTAGACTTTTTATTTCTTATAGAAATGGTTGGAAACAAGGCAAGAAGAGATAAAAACTAAACTCTGAAGACAAAAAATAATGGACCAAGCTGATAGAAGGTTGAGACTCGAAGCAGATGGGAGCTAGGGTGTAAACTTCTAAACAGATGCACCTCTTCTTGCTCTGGTTCTCCTACTGTCTTCAGGGCTGATTTTTCTGAAATTCACATCTGTTCATATTATTCCCCTATTTAAAATTATTTTGTGCCTTTAGAATAAAGTTCACACTCACAGCAGGACTCTTTTAGATTTCATAACCTGCCAATTTGAATGACTTTTCCAGTATTAGAGGGCTTTCACTTACACTATTGCCTCTATCCAGATGCCTTATATTCCACAAATATAACCTAAATGTATAGGTGTTAAATCAGTGTTTACCATTGTCTTATCTTGTTAGGAGATTTGAAAAATCATTTTTTATTTAAATATTTCCTATTAAATATAAGTAGCATGTAAACACAAAAGTTGCAAACATAAAAGTACATAAGGTAGAACAATGAATTACTGTCCTTCATCTGAATTCTTCTTTTTGCATAGGAAATTACCGTTAACAGTTTGGTCTGTATTCACATCTTTCCCTCTCTGGTACTCTCTAACCCCCATACAGGTGCTATTCATTTAACTTTATTATATTACATGAATACATTTTCATTGTAGAACATATCAGTATATATGGACTATAGAAAACATCTTCCATGATCATACCACCTAGAGATAAACATACTTTAAACTTTGGTGCGTATTCTAGACTTGTCTTGCATTCTCATGAGCATTCAGATACACAAACATATTTTTAAAAAATTTAATGGCTGGTAATATGCAAACTTTTTTTTTTTCTCCAAGATTTTATTGGAGAGAGAGACTGTGCACACATGAGTGGGGGGAGGGGTAAGAGGAGAGGAGAGAGAATCTCAAGCAGATGCTGAGCTTAGCATGGAGGCCGATGTGGGGCTCGATCCCACAGCCCTGAGATCATGACCTGAGGCGAAATCAAGGGTTGGTCATTGAACTGATTGAGCCACGCAGGCGCCCCTATGCAAACTCTTCTTGTGACCTCTATACCTCTGTTAGCACTGTGGTATTGCCCTCCTCCTGATCCAGGATCCATTCATGTATCATGTGTTGCTTTTTGTGTCTTAGTCTCCTTTAACCTAAAACAAATTTTCTGTTTTTTTGTGTCGTTCATGACCATGTGATAAAGAATGTAAGCCAGTTTTTAGAATAACTTGTAAAATTTCCCTCAATCTAGATTTGTCTGGTTTTTTTCTCATTAGATTCAGTGTAAACATTTTTTGGCGAAAGGACTATGTTGATGTTTACCTTCCGTTATACCACATCAAAAAAGTATGATGCCAGTTTATTGAATTTTTGGTGGTAGTTAAGGTGGTGTCAACTTAGAACTCTCCATTTTAAAGCCATTTGTTTTTCTTTTGGTAATTAAGAAGTAATCTGTGAGGTAATAACTTTGAGACTTTGTTAATATTCTGTTCCCTAATAGCCTTTTGCATAGTAGTATTAGGGTTCTTGTCAGAATCAGTTATGTATGTAGCTGGAAGATGGGGATTTTTAATTCTTTCATTCCTCTACATTAATAGGCAGCATTTATTTTGTAGAGAACTTCTCTCTTTTTTCCTTTTCAGTTATTATTGTGCTCTCATATGTTATCATCTATTACCTGATTACTCTTTCTGATACTTAAATTGTCCAAATTTGACCAGTGAGAGCCCCTTCACACAGGCTCCCATGTACATATGTGAACACACACATCACATATGCATATGCTCATGCTCTCTGTCTCTTTCTCTAAATAAATGGAATAAATACCATGGGACTTTTTCCCCCCTGTTACTTGCTGTATTTCACTCATATGTTAACCTGTTAATATTGAGATTCTTTTCATGTGAGTACAAATGGGATATATTATTCTTTTTAATGGTACATAGTTAGCTATAGAATGGTTCAACCATGATATCTTTATTTTTCTTTTTGTTTCTAGTTTTTCACTTCTACATAGGACTAACAGATAGGTGTTATATATATTCATGTAATAACTTCTGTGGGATAGATTTCCTAGAAGTGAAATTGCTGAATCAAAAGATAAGTGCATTTTAACTTTTAAAAAGACAGAATTGCCAGAATGATCTTCAAAAAGATTGTACCTGTTGATATTCTTACCAACAGTGTACAAAGTACTTGATAACTGCATATTAGTAAATTTTCTTTTAATCTTTTAGAAACTCTTACTTTATTAAAATATGTGTTCACGTTATTATGAGTGAGGTTTGGTATCTTGTGGCCACTTGCATTTTATGTTCTGTTACTTGCTGTGCATTTCCTTTGTCATTTCTCAGTAGGTTTGCTTGTCTTTTTCTCATTGATTTACCGGAATTCTTTTCGTTTTAATGTTAATCCTTTCACTGCTATATGTGTTACAAAGATTTTCTATCCTTGCGAATATTTTTTCACCCTTTCATGTACTTTGAAACTTTGTGGTATTTTTCATTGTTTATATCATGTTCATTTTTTTATACAATTACAGCTGTAGATCTTTCTGTACTACTTTTTTTAAGTTCCAAAATGAATTTTTATATAAAATTAATCCAGAGAAAGGGAAATTTTCTAAAGCATAATAGGAAGCTAGTGTTTCTGGTTTCTTTTTTGTTTGTTTGTTTTAACTTCAGGTGCCTAAGTGACAGACTTCCATATTATTTATTTGAAGAGACAGAGAGAGCACAAGTTGGGGGGGAGGGGCAGAGGAAAAGGGTCAAGCAGACCCCCTGCTGAGCGGGGAGCCCTGATGCAGGGCTGGATCCCAGAACCCTGAGATCATGACCTGAGCTGAAGTCAGATGCTTAACTGACTGAGCCACCAGGTGCCCTTTCTTTTTTAAAATATACTTAAGCATAATAAAGAGAAGTTTTTAAGTTGAGATTTTGCTAAAAGGTAGTATTTGAAATACTGCTTATTAAATATATAACTGTTTAATTACTTTTCAGAGTACTCACTTCATCTAAATGTAGATAAATTTCTTTTTGAAATCAAAGGGTTCCAACTTGTCACTTAGTATAAACACCTTGTGACAAAAATCTTATACTGACTTGTAATAGTAGGGTACCCCTGACTGTGATGTCAGTTATCCTGATATACTGATTGCATTGTGTCTGAAGAAAAATGTCACATAAGTGTCATAGTATGTGATAGAGCAAGCATTAGGTGATGCACTGTCCTTTCCAGCAGTTACCCTTCGGTTTAGCTGTTGTGCATTAAATGAGATAAGGTCTACTAAGAGATGCTTCTCCCCCTTCATTTTCAGTCTGCTGTTAACTAGCCCTAGACCATTTTTATTTCATAGTATATGCAAAAATATATCCTTATGAATCTTTATTTAAAGAATGTTCAAGTTATAACCATTTGAACTTTATAAGTCAGCAGACACTTTGGTTCTCTTAAACTTGAGGACATATTTGTTACAGGTGTCACATCTTTTCTCAGGAACAACAGTATTACTTTACAATCTTTTTTTTTTAGTGAGTAAAAATCAGAGGTCTTAGTGATAGGATGTTAAGAACAGAAAAAATGTTTTAACTTTTTAAATGACAACTTTTGGATTCCTATTTTTTTTCTGTACTGAGAAATAATTTAGGAGAGATATTATTAAATACATTTGTAGATCATTTTAACTCAGTCTCAGAGATGTGGTTTGTCCAAAGTTACATAACTCTAAAAGATGGAAGACTGCAGGTCTTTTGCTCCCCTGAGACAAGTTGAATGGGGAAAATTTCCACTGATTTGGATTATCCATACCCTTGTATAATTAAAAACAACTGTAAATACATTTTATATTATTTTTCCTTAAATGTGCTTTGTGTAAGTTGCATGTGTTACTCAGAGGTTGATCCTAATCAGATGGCCATAGAAACATATTTTTTTCTGTTTACACATTGGAAAACATGAAAACACTGTATAAAACAGGTTTTATATGTCTATAATTTTATTTTATATGGATACCCAAACGAAAAAAATTTTTCTGCAATCTTATTGAAGATGCAATTTTGCATCTTCTACTCAGAATTAGGTAGGTAGAAGGAAATAAAGGTTGTTTTTATTTTTTTAAAAAGATTTTATTGATTTTATTTGAGAAAGAGCAAGCATGAGTCAGGGGCAAAGGGAGAGGGAGAAGCAGACTCCCCACTGAGCAGCAGGAAGCCCGATTTGGGGCTCGATCCCAGGACCCTGAGATCATGACCTGAGCCTAAGGCAGATGCTTAACTGACTGAGCCACCTAGGTGCCCGGAAATAAACATTGTTTTATGGTATTTTAAATTCTGTTTTGCATGGAGGAAAGAAAAAGATCTTAAAATGTATTTAGTCATTAATTAAAAGGTATCAGAATGGTTATAATATGTTATAACTTTGGTCTGGAGGTCAGTAAACTAAATAGATGCCATAGAGAAATATTGGAAAAGTGGCAAGTGAAGAACTCTATAAAGGTCATAACACTGTGGATCATCTTTCAGGGGCATTGAAGCTGAAGAAGAAATACTTAATGCACCTGCTGGTTGCTCTTCAAACTTATATGATACCGATCTAGGTTACAAAGTAGGGATTTCCTAGGAGAATTGCTCAAAAATCATTCTTCAGGTTGTTTGTAGGTTTACTCTGTGTACAGATTTTTCCCATGTGTATAGAATATTCTTTAAAAATAGAATTGAAAGTTTGCTTTATTGTAAAAAACTGCTGTGATTTACCTTGATTTTGGCAAATGAAGTGAATAAAATAGCCCCACAGGGGCTTTGTTATTTTGGTAATTGCCTACTTTGTGTGAATACAGATGAAAGAATCCTTTGAAGTAAAAGGAACATTATTTTGTAAAGAAAATAGATTTTTTTCCTTGAAGTATTGTATAAACCTTTGAGAAAGCAGATTAATTTTTATTGTTTTGTGATTTTTCTTTGAATATGGTATTTTGCTTACTATTGCGTTTACTGAAAAATTCTTTTTTATTGGTGATAATATAATAATAACTGCTCCCAAGAAGAAATTTGTATTTCCTTTTCATTTTAGGATTTGTCATCTAAAAAATGTATATCTAAACAGAAGTGAAGATAATGATTATCAACCACAAACTTAATATTAAAGAAATTAAAAGTTTTGATTTCTTTGCTCATCTTGTGTACTATATAGTCTAGCTCCTTTGAAATCTTTTCTTTGGCATCCTTTTGTATGATTTTCAGATTACGTTAAGGTTCACTGTTATACAGCCTTTGAATGGCATAAAGATGACAGTTAATGGCATCTGCTTCAGGCAGCATATGTAAGTCATAGTTGCGAACCACCTTTTTAGTTTTATTCCTACCAGGCTATTTTAATTATAATCTATAGTCCTTGGTAACATTGTGTGACTAAAATACTTACACATGACTCTTGACCTATTAATGACATCTAGTAAATTAATGTTGATACTTTAAAATTATTTACTAGTTGTGTATGGTTCTTTTTCTTTCTGGGTGATTTAACTCAGTATTTATATAGTTATTTATTTTAATTTGAGTATCTTTGGTGTTTGTGAGAAGACACTCTCCAGTTTAGGCTCCAATTGTCTGTTTAATGTGTAACCAGTTCAAATAATCACATCTTACACTGGATGCATATAAACTTACCTGTGGGGTAAAGCCTTTTGAGAGATGAGTGTTGCTTACATATGCTTCTCATATAGTGTTTTTTTGTCTGTTTGTTTTTAATGTCTTCAGTTTATTGGAAGTCACTTTGGATGCCCCTTAGAATTGGGCACTTAGATTCTTAGAATAAACCTGGTCAGAAGATCCTGGGGTGGTTGATATTTGGCTATCTGTAGAAGCAACCTATCTTGGAGAGGTAATAAATGTGTCTTTGGAGATCAGAGAAGTGCCCCAGCCTAAGGATGATGAGGGTGTACATCAGGCCTAGAATTAAGTTGTAGTTTATTTCTATTTATGCGTTAATTTTTTTTTTCTCTTCAGGATATTTTTATCATGAGGGTGGTGTCGTCTAGGTAATATTAAGTGTTGTGTCAAGCATCATTTAGGAAAAAGAAAACTATTTAGGAGTCATGACTATTGTAGTCGTTATGTAAGTCATCAAGAGTTCGACATGGTTTTTTATAGTCTGGGTGAAATGATCTCTGAACTTTTCAGTTGCCCTTTATTGGATTCTATATTTATCAATACTGTGATGCTGCCAATACATTCTTCTTGGTATTTTTATACTGAGAATTATTCATGATAATGGATGTGACATAACTTTCTAGTGAGTTTGGTTTGTCAGGCACAAAGAGCCTCATCAACACCGAGTTCACTGACAAAATTGAGTTTCAGGAATTTTAATGAGAACCTGATCTTAACAAAATGTTGACAGTGATATTTTGGTTGAATTTCATGTTGGTGTACACGTTTCACATCTATTAAGTTCAAAATCAAGGAAAATCTTTTTAATTTTATAAAAAGTTTAAAGAAAACTGGAAGTGCAAATAGTAACTTTAAATATAATTTGTAATTGCAGTTATGTATATTTGCATAGATAAGGAAACCTTTTACTCTTAATAATTGAAAGGTAGTATAATTGAAGTATAACATGACCTACTCTAAAACATAAAGACCTATACTAACTAATCTTGTTTGTTTGCAATGAGGATCTTTAAAAATTTTTATCACATTTTCTGATTAAATAATTTAACTTCTCTCAGAATATTGAGTTAAACAGAAAAAGAGTAATCTGTTTTTTATTAATTTCAGTTATGGATATATTTTTACAGAAGATAGAATTATAAATGTTTAAAAAGATCAAATACCTCCTAGAGCTAGAAGTTGGCTCAGTTGTGAATGGAACTCAGTTTGTCTAACTCTAGTCTGAACTATTCAAATTGTCCTATAACCTTCAATTTATGTCTATGTGGGTTTATGTATGTATTTTTCTTTTACTAATACTTAACTTCGTGTTTATGGTTATATGAATTTGTGTTTTATCTGCCATCCCCAAAGTTAGAGACCTTTTTGATTATATGTTTGTTTTGTGTGAGCATGGTCTTAAATATTTAAGTGTCCGTTATAAAAGGAGCTCAATTAATGTTAATCAGTAGTTCCTAGATACAGTCTGATTTCTTTTTAATGAAAATTCCTATTTTTATGTAATTTTTATTCCCATAATGCTTTTCCAGTAGATGTAAAATTATTTTAAAAGGTCATTTGTTTCATTGTGCATACTGTGGTAGGTGAAAAAGGACTTTTATAAAATGATTTCACGTACATGTTTTGACTGTAATATCATTCTTATAAACCATTAGTTTTTCAGATTTGTTCTCTACTTCCCTTTTTCTTTTGTAATTTTATAAATGAGTTAAAAAATAAACTAATCATACTTTTTTTTTTTTTTTTTTTTTTTTTAGGTTGTTACGGAGTTGATGGAGAGAGTGACTCTATTATGAGTTCAGCTTCTGAAAACTCCACGGAACCTTGGTTTTGTGATGCCTGTAAATGTGGTGTTTCCCCTAGCTGTGAACTCTGTCCCAATCAGGATGGAATTTTCAAGGAGACAGATGCTGGAAGGTTGATGTCATAATTCTGATGGGTTTATATGCCTTCTTTATAATGTGTCTGCTTCTATTATAATTTTTTCAGTTACAAACTTTTGTTTGATTGTTTCTTTGTATTTTTTTTGGCATAGGGTAAATGGACCATAGGCTACAGATCAGGGGATGGAGAAAAGACTATTTATTGGTTATCTGCATTTGCCTTTATAGCCATAGTCCCATTTAATCCCAGTGATGACTCTATAATGAGACAGGTGCTAAAGTTTTACATTTTATAGGTGTAGTACCTGAGCCTTAGATCATTAAGTAATTTTAATTTGATCAAGGCCACAAGCAGGTGAATAGTCAGATTTGAACCCAGATCTGTCCGACTTCACTGACCATACAGTGGTTTTAAAAGGGGACTTTACAGAATTATTGAACTATGATAAGAGTAACTGTGATATCACAGCCTGTACCCCTGAAACAAATAATACATTATATGTTAATTAAAAAATAATTAGAAAAAAACTAATGATGTACTACAAGTTGGCTAATTGAGTTAAAAAAAAAAAAAGTAACTGTAATATAAAAGAACTCTAAAGGATACCGTCAGGCCGAGGGAGAGTATCCAGGAAATGACAAACTTGGAAGACCCCTCCCCAAGGCTGGAGTTCAGACCTTATTGGAGAAGGTGTAGTTGCAACCTGTTGTATGGCAAAGATGCTTACTGGTTTGCCTGGGCCAGAACTGGTCTTTAGTTCTTGGCAAGTGGGTGTCTAGGCACAAGTTGCAGAAGGTACTGGGCCACCAGTATGGTGTCTGGAGTGTGTGGGTCCGTGTTAGGAGGGCCACAGAAAAGTGATCTCCAGGCTGGGCTTGCAAGGGCATAGTGTTGGTAGTTGGTGTATGTGGCTGGGGCAGAGCCCTGGCAGATGCTCTTCGTCATCCCTGCTGAGAAGTGCTTTCCTCCTACAGTGCTGTCTACCACTTTTACTGAGACAGCTTAATATCATGCTCACTGTAAAGGAGAAATGCTGAAGGGGTTTTTTCCATTATTGCATAGCAGATATTTAAGGTGGATTTGGAGCTGAGAGGCAATAAATTGATAACTGGCACAAAGATCTATGTTTTTTTCACTGCACTCACACTAATCTTTATTATTACATTGGAGCAATTGTCATCATGATAGTGTTGACATTTGTCATGTTTTTTGCCCAGGAGACTACCATCTGGGTATTTTAAGAGTAGTTCCTGCCCTCTTGTATTTTATGGATCATTACCTACCCAACCTCCCCACCCCCCCAATATAAGAGGAGTACTAAAATATATTAAGTTTTTTATTTTGTGATATAAGTTTTTTTTTTTTTTAAGATTTTATTTATTTATTTTGACAGAGAGAAACACAGCGAGAGAGGGAACACAAGCAGGGGGAGAGGGGGAGAAGCTGGCTTCCCGCAGAGCGGGGAGCCCGATGCGGGACTCGATTCCAGCACCCTGGGATCATGACCTGAGCCGAAGGCAGATGCTTAACTACTGAGCCACCCAGGCGCTGCTGTGATATAAGTTTTTTATTTTGTGATGAGATATTTCAGTATTTTTAAAAATGTTTAATATTGGGACAAATGTTCAGCATTATTTTCCATATTTTAACATTGAAAAGGATAGGATACATTTTATCCCAACATAAAGATAGTCTTTAAAATTTAATACATGTTAGTTTAGTAAAGTCAGAAATATTTTTCTTATATGTACCTTGGTTGGTGGAGAGGCCCCTGAGAAATGTTGCCATACAAGGTTGTTGGGATAGCATAGAATCTACCATGGAATCTTGGAGAAGCCTTTGTGTTGATGTCTAGGAAAAATGGCTAAAAATCTTAGCTCTTCCTCATTGCACATCCAAAAAGATGAAATAAAATACAAGGCATAACAAATAATTTGATGTATTGACATAAATCTTTAGTCTCTGTCATAGACCTGGGCATTATTTCATGTCTGGACTGACTTGGGCCCAGAATTAGGGAATTGAGTGCAGCATTAAAAGCGTGTGCTTCCAAGTTGGACTGCCTATATTTGAGTTCTGGTCTTTTTTTTTTACTAACTGCGATTATAGGCATTTGATTTAACCTTTTAAAACCTCTATTTTCTTAGTACTTTTGAGAGGAATGAGGTGATTCCTATAAAACAGTACAGTTTCTGGAGCATAACAAGTGGTTAATAAATGTCTCCTTATTTCTACTGCTTCTGCTACTGTTGCTCCTAATGGTTTTCTTACTACCAGTATTGTTCCATTTCCTTAAGGTGATCATAGATCATAGAGTAGCTGCATGAATTCCTTCTGGTAACTATTTAGTCCTGACAGTTGTAATTTTTGGTGAGAAATTGTGGTGAATAAGTAAGACAACTTTGGAAAACACAGAGCTTCCTCTTAGGGAAAATAATTTGTTTTACCTCTTTTCTTGTTCATAGTTGGAAAGTTCTATTGAAAAACTTAGGGTGCCTGGGTGGCTCAGTTGGTTAAGCGACTGCCTTCGGCTCAGGTCATGATCCTGGTGTCCCGGGATCGAGTCCCACATCGGGCTCCCTGCTCGGCAGGGAGTCTGCTTCTCCCTCTGACCCTCTCCCCTCTCATGTGCTCTCTCTCTCTCTCTCTCATTCTTTCTCTCAAACAAATAAATAAAATCTTTAAAAAAAAAAAACAAAACTATAAAGTACCTGGCTCTTCACGCCATTATAATCCACAAAATAACTTGTAAAATTGTTTCTGAATGGAGAAAAGAGAGCCCCCTTTAATTAGATTCACTGAGAAATATTTGTACTGACTCCTGTGGTACACTTCCTTGATGGTACAGCCTCGCCAAAGTTCTATAGTATTTGAACATTTTATTTGCTTTGAGGCACACACTCATCTATAGGCTATGGTGGAAATTATAGGTCTTGATATAGTTTGAAGGATATAGTTGAAGCTTGATATACTTTGATGCAAGGCAAAAAAAAAAAAAAGGTCAAAATTTGGCAAGCCATTTAGTATTCTAGCTTCAAATGGTAAATGGGGTGAAAAAAAGAACAATGTATGGAAAGAATGAAAAAGGTTTTGAAACTGCATATCACATAGGCTAATTAGACTTTTTCCCCCCCTCTGTTTCTGATGGGAGCCACAAGTTCTACATCTAGTTAGTTTGCTCTATTAAAATATGTGAGTTTAAAAGGATATATTAATAGTTTCCATGCTAGAATGACAATTTTGACTCTTCGTTTTTTGGTGGTTTTATGTGGTGCTTGATTTCTGTTTCCTTTCCCCAGTCAACATCTGTCCTTATAGCTCTAAGCAAAATGGGTGTTAACGTAGCAAAGATTATTCCTTTTTGATTTCTCCATTTGTCTTAATTACAGAGTTCTAAAGTATGTACAATTAAACAAATGAACAAAAAATTATTTACAAAAGATATTAAAAAGGAACAAAATTGTCTCAGCTGTTTGATATGCATTTTAATAAAGACCCAAGTTGACATCCTCACATCAGTGGTTGGGGAAATGATACACTTGTGTGCCAATCACACTGAAATGGCAGTTTAAATCTGTAGTACTTGCATGACTTGTACTAAAACATTTTCAGAAGGTCAGTATGAAGCAAGCAGCCAGCTGTTGGGTTTATCAAAGATAGACTCCTACAGAGTACAGTGGCATTTAATACACCAGTGGAGCATGAAAAAGCTGTGCAAATTAAATTGAGAAAGCAGCTGCTTGTTGAAGATGTGTATCTTTATATCGAACTCCACAGGATGCATTTGGGAGGTTGGATTAAAACATTTTATCAAGAAAATCTCAAAATCTTGGATTTTCTTCTCAATAAAAAAGATAATTTCTAAAGATTTGTAACTGTTTTCCCCAGTGCCTCTATAGAATGATTCTTAGTCTTACTCTTTTAAAATGTATAATGTGTCACGAAACACAACCATGTAGCAGTCATAGCCTCTCAAGCTGTGATAAAGCAGAATTTGTTGTTAATATAGTCACAAGGTTAAGAGAGATTTGCTCTCTCATTTTTACCTCCTTTCTTACAGAAGTGATATCTGTTTAAATTTCAAAATCCAGTGATCCCATATATTGTGTGGTTGTGTGTAAACAGAAAGGGCTCCTGATGCATTTCAAAAGTTTCAGTGCAGCTTTTAAAAAATGAAATTAGAATCAACTACCTTTTTTTAGTGTGCTGAAACTTTGAGCATTCTTTATTTAGTGTTGCATATCATTCATACTTAAAAAAATACATATGGGGCATATAAGTTTTAGTACAAAGGTTGTATGGTGAACAGATGAGTGAAATAGGACTTCCTTATATTTTATAACTGTTTTGGACAGTTTTCGAGAATCAGTTTTAACCTCCGAAGAAGGAAAGTCAGGATGAACATTAGAAATTGTTTTAAAGTGTTCTGAAGGACTATTCCAACAGCTTTTAGAAAAAAGTAACAAGGAAGAATAATTTTAACTAATTACTGCAGAATTACCTCACAGTTCTTAAATTAGATCCTTACTTCTTAGAATGCTTAATGAATGTGAATACCTTTCCATGCATAAGAAAATGATGTTTTGTTTCATTTGAATAGTGGTTTTGTGCAAATATTTAAGAAAAACAGGTGAGTGCAAAGTGTAGTGAACTGAAGTGACAGGCAATTATAGTTGTTAACTCTTAGCTTTGGCTAAGTGCTAGAAAAGTGCTTATTGCAGTTGTGCTTATTCCGTATTCTTCAGTTATGTGAGATTCTGAGATCTGACCATAGAATTCTTTCAGTAGTTATTTGAGATGGCACATATTTTATGTTTATTTTCCTTGTGGGCATTTTATGAAAGGGTTTGATGGCAAAATCATATTTTCTCTTCTTATAGATGGGTTCACATTGTTTGTGCCCTGTATGTTCCTGGAGTAGCCTTTGGAGATATTGACAAATTACGACCAGTAACACTAACAGAAATGAATTATTCCAAATATGGTGCCAAGGTGAGACAAAGATTTCTTGATTGTCTAAAAGAGAAAAAATTTATTTGTTAGTTTGTATGGCTTTTTACTAACACCATATCATTGTTGAGTACAGAAATGCTTATTATTATACTAATTTGTAGAGTAGTTAGCACTAAATCATCTATCATTGGTAGTAATTTTCCCAGAAAGCCCATAATTTATAAATTCCTTCATGTATTCTTTAACTTGTGGGGTAAAATGATAATTGATTCTGCTTATATTTCTGTGCCATTTAGCACACTCTCTAGCACATATGAATTCTCAAGACTAGTTAGAACAAATACAAACCTAATTTCTGATTTACTTTTGAAATGGAATTTACCAAAATTACGAAAAGAGTACAAGAGGCACCTGTTATTTTACTTAGACTTCAAGGACTGTTTTTTGTTTGTTTGTTTGTTTTTTAATGACTGCAAAACCTGTCTAGCAACTGATTCTCAGCCTCAAATTTATAAATTGGTTTTTGTTGCTTGAGCTTTAGGATTATAAGTGATAAAAATACACTTATTAATTTAAATTTAGTTACATGATTACTACAGACATCCCTGTAATATTAGAATGAATTAGGCACTGATATATTCTCTTCCATTGCTGTCTTTTGGGAAATTGGGAAGGAAGACTCTTGAATAGCATTAGTAACACATTAAGGTGGGGTGGGAAGTTTACATATTGTTGGAAAACTCTGATACTGAAAATTCAAGAATTTGACAGTTTCTGCTGTTAAATCCAGAATATCCTCCTTAGGTTCTAACCACTACCTGCATCCCTCACCCTCCAGCCTCACTCCAAAACTCTTGTGCTTTAGTGTGGGTAATTTCTATTGAATTATCTGCAGCATCCCTCTCCAAAATTAGCTAAAGCCCCCAGGGAGAAAAACAGGCCCAAGCACCGAACTTACTTTCCTGGTCCTCAGGTAATTCTATACTATCTTGTTATCTCTCTGATGCCTTTAAGCAATAGTTTAAAAAAAATAATTTGTCCATATTTTCTAGTTTCTAGCAGGATTAATACAAATTACCAAGTGTACCATTATTGGAAGTGAAAGGTACTGCTTTTTGATAACAGCTTCATAATTCACAAACACAGAGCCTAGAAGGGACTCACAAGTAATTTTCAGTAGGCACACATTATTACCATAAATATAAATCTACAAGCAGTGATAAACACAGGAACCAGATGTTACTTCATATATCTGAAACCAGCAGTGACCTCTGAACCGAAAAAGAGAATCATTAAATATGCAATTGTGAACTGATTTTTCATTATCACCTGCTTTTGTTTTGAAGTATGATTAGGAAGTGGAGTAAAAAATTATGTATTCTCTAGCTCATCTGCAAAATCAGTGATGTGAATTATAACTGGGACAGCTCTTCTAGACCTGTCTATCCATTTACTAATCCTGGTTGCTTTCTTTCCTATGTTCTCAGTTGCTTAGTTCCCTAGCATTTTAAATGATTCAAGCAATTGAGAAAGATTCTCTTTTTCTTGCTAGATTGTTCTATAGTCTTTACAAGACCTTATGGTCAGGAAATTTTTCCTTGTATTCACTCTGAAATCTCTTGCTCAACTTCATCATATTACATTGAATTAGTTTGGGAAATATCCTGAACAATTTGGTTCTGTTTGTGCTATTGACATTATTGAAATAATTTAATTTCTTCATTTCTCTCTCTCCCTTCCTCTCTCCTGTCTCATTCTTTCTCTCTCTTTTGGTTTCATGTTTAGATTACTATTTGCTAGTATTTTATACCATACGCCTTCTACTGTTATTGGAAAAAGACATTTAACCATGCAGTAGAGTGTCAGGATTTGGGTGTGTTTTTACATCTGTGCCCAGAGTCCTGTTCTTGCTGTTTTCATTCATTGCTGATGTGTCAGTTTGGTGCTGTCTACCTAGTAGATAGCCACTAACTGTTAACAGTGTTAAAAATGACATTTTTAGTGTCTGTTGAATTGTTTTCTTTATGTTTCCCTTACATTTAATTTACTTAGAATATATTTACTATAAACAGTTCTTTAATTGTCTCTTGGCAGTTTTTCACAATTTAGCAGGTTTTTCTTTTATGAAGATTACTATCACTAGTTTATATTTTAAGACTGGATTTTTTTTTCTCTGTGGTTTAGATAGTGAAAAGGATAAAAAAAATAAATGTGGGGGATTGGGAGTAATTTCAATACTATAAACTTCTAGTTTTACAGTTTTTTCCTTTGTATTCAGAAAGGAGTTAGCTGTAATATCTTTCACAACAAATTGTTTACTTAAGATTACTTTTAATTGTCCTAGAAGTATTTCTCTTTAATTTAATAGTATTTAATTCTCTTAAATGTATTTTAAAAGTACATGATTTCTTTGGCTGCAATGCCTAGATTTTTTGGTGAATTTTTTCTGGCTTCTTACTTATTTCTTAAATTTTCCAAGCAGTATTATATTGTTCAAATCAGTATGGTTTAATGGTTAAGAGCATGGGCTTTAAGATTACCCTGGTTTGAATACTGACTTGGCAGTTATTTTTTGTGTTATTTTGGGATTTCTTAGCCTGTCTTCCCCTCAGTTTTCTCATGTGTAAAATGGAGATAATACCTCTTCCACATATTAGAGTGGAAGATTCCACAGTATAGTTACATTATATTAATATATGTAAAGTGCTTAGAATAGTGCCTAGCACGTAGTAAACCTTCAAATTATTATTATTATTATTACTGTCATCTATTATATCAGTGGACTTTTGGTTTATTAGAACTGTAGAGCGAATTAACTTTTTTTTTTTTTAAGATTTTATTTATTTATTTATTTGACACACAGAGAGAGAAGGAGAGAGCAGGCGCAAGCAGGGGGAGTGGCAGGCAGGGGAGAAGTAGGCTCCCTGCTGAGCAAGGAGCCCAATGTGGGGCTTGATCCCAGGACCTTGGGATCATGACCTGAGCCGAAGGCAGCCGCTTAACCGACTGAGCCACCCAGGGGCCCCTAGAATTAACTTTTTAATATAAACTCTTTTTTTGCCTATAATTATTGTTTCAATTAATATGCTATTGATTCACTATTTGTATTTTATGGATACTTTGTATGAGAATGCAGTCTTGTTCTAGAGATATTTTTATTCTGAGAGTTTTCCTTTTATTCCACTGTAGGAGTGTAGCTTCTGTGAAGACCCTCGTTTTGCTAGAACTGGAGTTTGCATTAGCTGTGATGCAGGGATGTGCAGAGCCTATTTCCATGTGACCTGTGCCCAGAAGGAAGGTCTGCTTTCAGAGGCAGCAGCAGAAGAGGTAGGTTTATTTAAACTCATCATTGGTGAATATATTCATAAGATGTCTCATGACTGTAAATGTCCCACAACAGGTGTGCATTATAAAAGAAATTAACAAGCTTATTTTAAAAGTCTTTGCCTAGATCACTGGTCTAAAATTTAAAAAATCAACAATGTATGAGTTTTTTCAGTTTCAAAGCTAGTTAGACATTTGGAAAACATGTTAAAAATTCTTATAGTGAGATCTGACAGATAAAATGAAACATAATCCAGGTTGTTTTAAAGCATTAAAATGTCAGCATCTTAGATAACCTCACTCTGTTTCTATAAATAAAATCATTACCTTATCTTCAGTATCTGTATTTCTCTCTCTTTACAATTGTTTTTAATTTTATAATTTTCCTTCCAGGTTTATTGGCTTTAGATTAAGGAATCAGTTGCTTTCAAAGTATGTTTTGGGGACTCCTTAATATTCTTTCAAGGGGTCTATGAGGTTAAAACTATCTTTGTAACAATATGAAAATGGTATATACATTTTTTACTCTTAATTCTCTCTTGAGTAATAGTGGATATTTTCAGAGATTATATAACACATAACAAATAACATATTGAATGTGGAAATAGTTTTGAGAATCCAGCTATCTTTTATGTGGGCTGTCTAGATGTTAAAGAGATTTGCGAAAATGTAAAACAGTGCCACTCTTCTCACTGATTTTGTATATAGTATTTTTTTAATAAAAATATTATTTATCTTTACATGTAATGGGATTATTTTTAAAATGAATAAATATATTAAAATTTTATTATTTTAATTTCTAATATGGGGACTGTCTATATATATAACTCACATAAGCTCTTTCGGGCTCTAATAATTTTTAAGACTTAAGGAGTCCTGAGACTGTTTTGTTGATTCTTTAGGTTCTTTATGTAGACAGGTATTTGAGTGCTTGGTAATTCTTACCGTCTACTCATGGTGGATCTGTGGTATATCTAAGTCCCTTGTGTTTCTTCTTTTACTGGCTAAATTTTTAATGTCATATAAAAATATGTTTATTATATTGGGTCTTGAACTTATCCCATTTAATTCATAGACAGGAATCAAGTGAAAAAGATAATCTAATGAAAATTGGTTGAGTAGATTTAGAGTGATATTTTTTTTAATAAATGATTCTATAACAGTTATATGTTGGTACATGGTTTTGTACCAGTCTCTGATTCTTATGAATTGTACTTTGATTAATTGATGAAGGGTACTGCGTAAACACAACATTTTCACAGGTCTTAGGCAGACATAGAGGTATAATTAATTATATAATACGGTTGTGTGGATTAGTTATGACTACACCTCAGGATGGTGAGCAGAAGTGCAGAGGGGCAATACAAGTAAGACTTAGAAGACTAGGTAATCCCAGGTGAATACTTAGATCACAGAATCTGTTAGGTTATTACTCTACTGTGGTAAACTTTGAGCTTTTGCAATCAGGAAGACTCCTTTGTAGCTGTTTCTTTTAGAACTTATTGAGAGCTTTACCTTTCATACTATGGTAGTTTGGGTTCCTATGTATAGCACCATTCACCATTTTTTTTGGGGGGGGTTGACAGTAGCTGACGAAAATGTGTGAAGTTGGGGTGCCTGGGTGGCACAGTCACTTAAGGCACTGACTCTTGGTTTCAACTCAGGTCATGATCTCAGGATCATGAGATCAAGAGGCCATGGCTCCACTCAGTGCAGATCCTGCTAAAGTTTCTCTCTCCCTCTCCCTCTGCCCCCTCCCCGGTGTGCTTACGCAGGTGCCCATATATGTGCTCTAAATAAAATCTTTAAAAAAATAAAAAGAAAATGTGTGAAGGAGCCATATACTGTGGCCTTGTTAAGTGTACTTTTTTGGATGGGGGGAATGATTTAAAATATATTTGCATATGTTTCTGGTGTCTTGTTATAAACATTTATAGAATTGGAAAATTATAAAGATTTCTAAACAGTGTTTTAAAACCCAAGAGGTTTTATGAATCTCTATCAATGAGGTTTGCTCTTGGCAGTCATCATTCTGTTAAAAGAAGTTCTTGGCTACTTCTTATGGTTGTACTTCTATAGACTAAGATTCATGTAATATAATAGTATATTTAATTAAAAAAACATTTTAAATTAAAACATCTATTTTTTGGAGGCATATCTTCTGTTCCAATTTTATATGACATTCTAGAAAGCTGCTTTTTCCCCTTTTTTAAAGACTTGTTAAGTGGGGTTTCTTCTTTTATCTTTTTTTAAGGTTTTATTTATTTATTTGACAGAGAGAGACAGTGAGAGAGGGAACACAAGCAGGAGGAGTGGGAGAGGGAGAAGCAGGCTTCCCGCTGAGCGGGGAGCCCACTGCGGGGCTCAATCCCGGGACCCTGGGATCATGACCTGAGCCGAAGGCAGCCGCTTAACGACTGAGCCACTCAGGCTCAGTTTTATATAGGCAGTATATAATGGCTGTTTTATATAGGCAGTAAAAGAAAGGTTGAAAAAGAATTAGTACCTCAGTTTTATCCAGTAACATCATATACCTTACCATATTCTAATGATTTTTTATAGCCTTCTGATAGTACTTTATCTCATTCGTGAGGATCCATTTGAAGTTTCTGTTCTTTCTGATCCACTTTGTGAAAATTCCAGATTACTTAGAATATTCAAACCATGTTATGATACAACACATTTATTATTAAAACTGAGCAATAGTACAGGTTCAATTACGCTGACTGAAATTTATGTGATTGTTTCACACCATTTAGTTAGCCTTAAGGTTACTTATATTTTATGTAAAACATATGGTAGTTTCTTCTGTGATAAAGAATGATTTGTGATACTCTGTTACCATGTAGGAAATTCTCTTTGAAACTATAAGATTATAGATTTTTATTGATTCCTTTTTTTCCCATAACCTTTGACTTAATGGACTGAAATCATTCATGGATTAATGTCAGGAGCTCAAATTAGATCTTTATCTGTTGAACTGATGCCTTAATATTGCTGGGAAAACCAGGATTGGTAGGAATGGGCTCTTGGTGGATCAAATAATTTTTCGTGAATTCATCAAGAAGTTACATTGCTGAAACTAGACGTCTTATATGAGATCTTCAGCAATACCTTTATGTGGCTGTTAGGCATTTGTTAACTTACATTTTTATTTTAAAAAGTATTTAGTGTTATATATATATATATAAATGTATGTAAGGCTGTATCTTTAGAATATGTCTAGAATATGTCTACTTCTTAACAGATTCATTGCTGCTCTCCTAGTCTCAGTAATCCTTTGTCACCTGGATTAATAACATCCTAACTCTTTCCCTGCTTTTCTTTGCCTTTTTAAGGACAGAAGGAGGCAGTTTTTTTTCTCTGAAGAACCAGATAGTAAATAGTTTAGGCTTTTTGGGCCTATTGTTTGTGTCACAACTATTTAACTTTGCCATTGATTGTGAAAACTGTCTTAGACAATATGTAAATGAATAACTCTGGCTGTGTTCAAATAAAACTATTGCTAGAACAAGATGGGCCCAGATTGGGCTCTCGAGTCATAGTCTGCCAATCCTTTTCTAGAGAATAGAGGACCTTTTCAGTAACAACTATACTGTTCCATTAAGATATAAGTCAGATCTGGTCACTCATCTGCTCAAAACCTCTTCAGTGACTTTCTGTCGGATTCACACTAGAGGCCAGTTTTTTTTTTTACAATGATTATAAAGCTCTGTGTGATCTGGGTTCACATTACCTTTCTGACCTCATCACTTCCCCTCAATTAAATCTCCCTAGCCTTTTCCCTGCTCCTGTAATGAATGTGTTGGGTAAGCTCCTACTCTGGGCCTCTGTACCTGTTTCTTTGCATGGGCTGCCATTCCCTCACATATGCCCTCATGGCTCATTCCCTCACTTGTTTTTGGATCTTCACTCCATGTCTCCTTCTCACTGTGGACTTTTCTGGTCACTCTGTCTAACGTTGTAACACTCTCCGTCCATGATACTTTCTAATCCCCTTTCCTGCTATTTTTCCCCCCATCTTTTTAATACCTAACCACTGTCCAATATATTGATCCTTATTTATCTTGTTTATTGTCTCTCACCTTTATTAGAACATGGATTTAGGAGAGGGTTTTTTTGTTTTCTCTTATTTTTCACTGTGTCTTCAGTCATTAGAATACCAGTTGAGGGAGCTGTCCCTTCTGTCAGTCAGCCTTTGTTTGATCAGCTCTTTAGTATTACTGGCTTTTTTGGGTAAGATTTTATTAAAAAAATAATTCTAGGGTAAAATTAGTTTCAAATCATCATTTTGTGTTGTATCTTGCATATTTCCTTTCCCATTTATTTGTTTTGATTTCCTATTTATATAAAGGCATTGCCTGAGGGTATACCTTTGGCATACTTTTTTGTGGTATTGGAATAACTGTTTATTCATACATGTGTCTCTGTCTCTTTGGTTTACATGAGATGATGTTTCCTGCCATCCCAGCTCAGGGAACTATTAAAGCACGTGTTAGCAAATAGATCACTTTCACTTTGTTACTTTTCTAAGGTAATCTTATTTAAACCTTTATTTGAAGTTTAACTGTAAGAAGTATGATTTATTTGGGGTATATGCAGAGTATCATTTCCTCTAAATAGTCTATATAAGCTTTATTATTAGACACAAACCTGGACAGAATTATTTTGATCCTTATGATTATTCCTTTTGCTGATATATGCTTTTTACATTTTGATGTTGTTACATTTTTTGTTAAATGTCTTACTGATTTTTTTCTTTTGTATTAACCTAGGAATATTGATGAGCCAATTTTTAAGTACATAGTGTTCTTTCTCTTAGTTCTTAATACTAGGTATAGTTGCGAGTTTGCTTATGAACTTATTTGGGTTTTTTTTGTTGTGATTTTGTTTGTTCTTATCTTTTGACCCCTTTCACCCATTTCTCTTCTCCCCTCTCTTCCTCTGGCAACCACTGGTTGGTTCTCTCTATGAACTTGTTGTTTTCTGTGTGTGTGTGTTTT